ACAATCCAATAGGGCAGCAGCAGGGCTTCTGGGTGTAGGGTGAAGAAGAATCAACACAATTTGCTGCTCCTTCCATGCTGCCACCCTGTGCAGCAGTCTTGCCCTGGATCATGATAGGGCTGTCTCTGCTGTGGGGCATTGTTTATGCCATTTGGGGATTGGTACCATAGATCAGGTGGTGGAGAACATGGCATGAATTGGTCAAATCCCAGGTACAGTCCCTTATAGTCCATTTGGAAGGATCTTTCATGGAACTGTCAGCCTGAACCACTGCCAGTTCATCAGTACTGAGTTAGAAATGGTCTGCCAGCTCTTTGTACTCTGATAACGCCCTCCCCTCCCCTCCCCTCCCCTTTCCCCTTTCCCCTCCTTTCCCATGAAATTAGATGAACTCAGCTCAGCCTTATCTCTTAGCCTAACCATTGCCCCAGGGTTATTTGGTTGAAACAGTTGGCATCATGTTCATTGCTATGGCCTTACAAATAGCCTAACTAATATGTATGCAGGCAGTCCCTGGGTCACAAATGAGTTCTGTTCCTGAGAAAACAAATTAATCTTTCGTAGGACCCCCCCCCCCGCCCCTGGAAAGTAGAAAATGTGAATATCTGGCGTGCACACCCCTGCCGACCAAATTCATCAGTGCAGAAAGGAAATGCTCCAGATGGTTGGGGCAGGAACACATTCTTTGGAGGCCCCTTCTCTCCCCTTTCACTTTCTTTCTCTATGGTGATGATGATGTCCTGCAGCAATTTTTTAAAATTAGTAGTCTTGATGGCAGTTGGTTTGTAAGCACAGGTTGTTCATAACTCAGATGTTTGTAAACTTGGGGTCTGCCTTTGTAATGGTTATACAAAAACTGCATTTGCTGAATTAGTTCTCACTGGGACATACATAAATCATGGCCTGCCCTTTTCACCGATATGGGTCCTGTCAAATAACAAAAAGTACTTGAGACTTTAAGTTTTGTATTACAAGCACAGCATATATTTTAAGAGCTATATTGAAAACAAAAATTAAAGGCATGGATTTAATTAGATAAATTTTGTAGGATGAGTTAAGTTCATGGAGTAGATTGGTTTATGAAACTTATTCCAGTAACACACTTTACAAAAGTGCCCCAAGTTTCCTAAGAGGAGGGCAAGTGTGCTGTAGTGGTTAAGAGCAGCCCTCATGGTTGAGGATCATTCCCAGCATGCACTGCTCCTTCCTGTTCTATCTCCCTCTTCTCCTTTGGCCCACATACACCCTGGAGTATATTCTTAGCTGGTTCCTGCCTTTTTTCTCTGCTGGGCTGCAGCGCCACTATCTGCTTGTTAGAGTAGGACTCTGTAGGAGCAGTGGAACAGGACCTCCTGCTGCAGCCACACTCTGTGCCAACACAAGCTCAACCACCCTTCACTGCGTAAGTTCTTGACCCTCCTTGTCGTGTGCAGGATTGATACATGAGGTTGGGGCTGGCTCCTGCCGGCAGCCCAGTGGGCAGCAGCATGAGTACCAGTGCCAGGAACAGAGCAAGTGTGTCCTGCTGGCCAGACTCCGCTGGTGGTGCCCATCCAGGCAGCTGTCTAGGAAGCTCCACCAGCAGGCTCTTAGGAGGGAGCAGCAGCACTTGTGGAGGGTCCCCTGGATAGTTGGAGGCAGGGTGTATGGGAGACAGAGTGGGAGACTCGCCTCGGTGGTGATGTCCTACTCATCGCCTGTGTGCTGCCTGTGCATTCCTTGCAAGCAGAGAAGTATCCCTGCTTGCAAGGAAGATGGGCTTTCTTGTGCTGTTCCAGCTCAGGGCACCAACCAAGCAGTGCTGTGCAGGGCTGCTCTTACGGTTGCTGCTGCTGCTGCTGGCAGCACTGCCTGTCCTCCCTGCCAGCCTGCGCTCTCTGCTGCCCAGCTGCTCCGTTGCCAAGCGCTCCTTGCCCTCTGACATCATCGCTCACTGCCATGCCTGTATTGCATAAGGTGAGGTGAGCATGACGGCAAGGCAGGTAAGGCTGGAGTGGAGCAGCGCCCACCAGAGAACACATGCTGGTAGGGAAGAAAGGGAGTGTGGAGACAGCCAGTCAGCTCCCTGCTGCTGGCAGCTCAGCAGTTGCTCAGCAGAAAAGAGCAGTGGAAAGTGGTGGCTGGAGCATCTGCTGCAACTGCTCTTTCTGCTGAACTCTCTGGCATAAAGAGGTAAACTATGGAAAAACATCACTGAGCTCACCAATAACAGTAAGCAGTGGTGAAGCATGGAAACCTTTGAACAGACCATTGGTTCTCTGTGGGGATTCACACTAACTTCAACGTGCCACACTGTATCATGCTTGCTGAAATCACACATACATGAGAAGCAACCTCTAGCATGGCTTGTTGTTATGTGTGAATGCAGTGAGAGGAGAGGGACTAAAATTTGGAGCCACCATTGTGAACAGGAATCATCTCCTGCTCTTTTTGCTTTCTGAACCCTCAGGGGGTCTTGATCAGAGCACTTCTGTTAACAGTATTGCTGTGTTATATGGTTACTGTGTTCTGCCTCAGAGGTCCAGATTCTACATAGCAGATGTTTGATATCTAAAAAAATATTCATAGTAGCAAATAATGTTTCTGAGAAACTGATTAGGCACACTTAGGCCAGTCACCACATGAGGGTTTTATTTTTCTTCCCACGTTTCTACAGTTTGCAGTAATGTCTCAATAGAAATATTTTAAGCTATGCTTGCCTTTTGATGCTCCTGTCTACAACCAAGCTCCTATATCTCACCAGGTTTCAGAAAAGATTCCTGCCTGTGTAATGGCTTCATAAGTTGATCTGTCAGATGCTATAACTTGTGTCCCAGTGTAGAAAGGTACAAAGATGTTTGTCCATTAGTAGCCACCTCTTCACTTGTATCCTATTGGCAAAAATTAGAAAAAAAAAAAAAAAGAAAGAAAAGCACTTTGCTATATTTATATCCTACCCTTTTTCCTGCTAGGAACTCAAAGTGGTTTACATAATTCAATCTTTGTTTTATCGTCACAACAATCCTGTGAGACTGAGAATCCATGGGAACGCCAAAGTCACCCAGTGCACTCTAAGGCCAGGTAGGGACTAGAACCCCGATCTTTCTCTCTTGCTCTGCATCCAAAATGGTAGGCTTGATTAGCTGCAGACTATTCACAAGAGCAACCACATAGTGAAAATAAATATATTGCCTTTGAGGGATAGTTTTGGAAAGGAATCTGCCGTTCTGAGATGTGTCCAAAAGACAACACTAATCCAAGATTACCACAGAAATTGTGTGGGAGGAATACTGCATATTGTGTTGGTGGATGTGCTTGTGTTCAGTTTTGTTTGAATGGTTTATGCCAGAAGAACTGTTGAGTGCTACCCCATCATATATTTTCCATATTTTGTTACTTGGATACTAAATCTGGTGGCGTAGGGTAGCTATGTTGATAAAAGGTTTTTGGATTGCTTTTTTACATATTTGCCACAGGATAGAATACATTCATCCTTGTGAATAGAATTTCTATCTAGTACAAACTGAATCTATTTCTTCTGAGCACTGAAGCTTTTCCTCAAGTCAGCAGTGTTTAGTCTCCTATATAGTAATATTTGGGATGCAACTTACATACCTCAGCTGTGGGAAAGATTGTGAACATCACAGAGAGAAATGGAATGTGAAAAACCCCATGTGCACCTTTAAAAGTGAGTTTACACATGGTGGCACCTTGAATGCATTGTCTTCATTATTTATAGGAAAAACTGGGAAAATATTTTGGATATCTTGGTGCAAGTTTCACCCCCACCATCCTTTTAGGTGCCATAACAGCTTAGATCTGTTTTAGCCTTTTCCCTTTTTATTTTTATCTGGATCATTAACTTGAATGTTCTGCCACCCCCCCATTGCTCTGTAGCCTTTCTTTTTACTTGCATAAGTGCATTATGTTCCAGAAGCCTCAGTGTGGTTGGCAACAACCTTGGTTTATTCACTGAAGGAAAAAAAATGCTGTCAGAATCTCTGAAAGCATAATGTAACTGTCATTAGCTTCCTACACATGCTTTTCAAGGAAAGTCTGTTTGCTAGGAGGAAATGGGAATGCATGTATTGCAAAGTATGGTTACAGCAACTTAATTTTTAAAAATAGTGTAAGAATATCTCCACTGAGTCCCACATTCTCATTTTGAGAATGGCCTAAGGTGTTTAAAAATGTCTACCTAGTAAGAGTGACAGGAAAATGAAATGGATTTTTGAGAAATAAAATGTTAAGAATGTTCTGTTAAAACCTTGTATAACTGAAAGCTGTTGTCAAGAATAGAGTGTGTGTAATGCATGTTGTTTATTATGGCCTCTTGAAAGGTTGTGCTTTGAGATTGGCCTTTTACGAGCAACAGTGCAGTACCTTTTAGTTTCCACAAAGGAAATTTGCACTCTTGAAAAGCTGCTTGTTTGATGTGCTTATAGTACTGAAGGAGGCAGCTTTCTTTTTCTCTTGACTTAGTTCTGACCACTTCAGAACGAAGTCCGCAGTGTATCCTTTCTCCTCAATTACCTTGCACTTTTGTTCAGTTTAGCTTATCGCAGTTGGAATTATTTTGTTCATAGTTCAAATATAATGCTAATATTATGAAATGCTAGCATTATGAATTTAATGCTAGTATTATATGAAACTGCCTTCCAGTACTAATGACAGTCAGTTTGTTATGTGTCCATTTAATATCTGTATTATGTGCAGATCACTTCACAGAAGCACTTAAAGATGCATGATATATGTATCTGAACTGTACTGTTAGCATTAATGAGTTTTTTGTGCACTGTCAGCATTATAGTTTTTTTGCGCAATAATGAATGTGTGACTGAAGAACTTTCGTTAAATCAATTTTTGAAAACAGGTAATTGAATGAGGTGAGGGTGATATGTTTGGCCTTGATTACTTGATAAATTTTAAGGGTAATGGGTATATTAAATTTACTATAATGAAGGTTAATTGTCTCAAATGGAGCTCTTGCTCATTTTCTTCATTTATGTCTGTTTTCTCAGCAGCAATGCAGCACGTTTTGGATAACCTTACGGATTTGCCTCCATCAACAGCAGCTGAAGAAATAGACCTTATTTTTCTGAAAGGAATTATGGAAAATCCTATTGTAAGATCGCTTGCTAAGGTAAAAAGTTTCTTGTTATTGTTTTTGCTGTTGTAATGAATCTAGAATGTAGTATGACATGATAATAAGGGGCATTTAGGTAGTATAGGGACAGTTACAGGACTTCGTTAAATGTCTTAATATTTGTCCGTGCTCTTAATGTAGCTCATGTACTCCTCTGCAGCCCCTCGCAAGAGCCTGAGGGTCCCTGAGTACAGAGAGCTTGACTTATGCTAAGGGGTAAATAGGGCTCCGGTCCTTTTGTGTGATCAGCAATGCTGTTGGGTGTGTAAAGGGAATTAGAAGCTTTCGGGAAGGCCCGACCGTTTTTAGATTTTTTGCAGGTACTTTTGTGTGGTCACATCTAGTTGGTGTCTGAAACTACCCCCAAACTGTGTACCCTCATAACTGGTGGATCATGTGCCATACTATAAAATGATAAGCTTGCAATATTCTGTAATTTTCAATGCATGTGCATTTATTTTTCCGAAACTTCAATGGCTGAGATGTGGAAATGGGAAACCTACCTCATGCAAACAAATGAAACCTAACACTAACCCTAATACTGCTAATGAAGGAAATGGAGTGGATGAGATTATGAACTCAAGTTTCCATATAAGAAGTCTTCTGTTCACTTTATGGGGAAGAGTAGCAGCCTTAAATAAATCCATCAACTGTGGACATACTGCTAGTCCTATGGAAATCTAGGTAGTTCTGAATCAACCAAAAATTAGCAGAAACACTAAGCACAAGTCAGAAAAGTTCACAGAAGGGACCTCTGGACCTGTAGCATTTTGGAAATGAATGTTTAGGAAGTGCTAGTTCCCTTTGTGCCTACAGTGGGGTTTGCAAGTGGAACAAAACCTGTGGAGACACAACTGCAGTACTGGATACTTCTGCTGCACTTATACATGCTGAGGATCGGGATGTACCTGGTTTACACTTGCTTAGTATCACCTTTCTGCCTCAATGTACAGAGAAGCGGCCTTGGGGAAATAGCATGCCTATGTAGACTTTTTAAAGCAGCAGAAAATCATTCTGACTTTTGTAGCAGGATTTGATATGTGTAATTAAGAAGGTGTAAAATAATATCAACTTCAGTTGTCAACTATATGGACATATCTGTGCTAAAATATATTTCTAAGCATTACCCCAGTTTAACTGGCCTGTTGTTTACTGAGGCTGCATAGAATTTTTTTATGAGATTCCTAACCACTATTACAGTTTCTATGGTTGCCTGAGGTGAGACAGTAACTATTAAAATTGTTTATTTTACTACTAGATATAGAAGGACAGGTTAACTACTCAGAAGGTACACCTACCATGCTTTATTTAACTGAACTGCCATTTCAAAGTGTCCAGTGGCAAAGATAGATTTTGACTATTTGGAATAACCATTTGCAGCCTCTGCAATACAGTTTGAGAAACAGACTTCTTATTAGTATAACATAAGGGCTTTGTAATGTACAAAGTAAATTAAAAGTATTTCTCCTTTTAATATTAGATTTATTTTGTAATCTTCATAGGCTCATGAACGACTGGAAGATTCAAAACTTGAGGCTGTAAGTGACAACAATCTGGAATTGGTAAACGAGATTCTTGAAGACATCAGTCCATTAGTAAACAAAGATGAAAACATTGCAGAGTTGGTTGGCATATTGAAGGAACCTCACTTTCTGGTAACAATACTTTCCAGTCAATTATTTTAAAATAATTTCTGTTCACTTGAATATATCAAAACATTTTGTCTACAGATAAAACGCTGTGACCTCATCCAGATAAAGTGAATTATGCTTACATTATATTGGATCAATAGAACTTGAGACATGAAAAAGAAAAGAAATGAAATGAAATGAAACTTAAAATGAAAATAAGGAATATTACCTAGAAGTTTACTGGGTCTGTCATATGAATTGATGTTATTCCATTTTGCATTGGTTATTTTTTCACAGAAATATTAAAGAGTTGCCTTTTCTTCCCCACACTGTGGAACCATACTTGATTGCTAAGGAGAAACATGTAAATCCGTCTTCTCCAAATATTGGGTCAGTTGGAGCTTAAGTGCAAACAAATGCAGCTACATTAACTGTATCACTTCTCCCACACTATATCTCTTTATTTACAGTCACTCTTGGAAGCCCATGATATTGTGGCATCTAAGTGTTTTGAGTCTCCTCCTTCTAGCCCAGAAATGAACAATTCTTCAGTGAACAATCAGATAGTACCAGTAGATGCCATTCGTATACTTGGCATTCACAAAAGATCAGGGGAACCACTGGTGAGTATTTAAAGAAAGACAGTTGTGTTTTCTACCACATCTAAAACATAGAACGAGGAATACTTTTACGTACTTGAAGCTACTGGTTCTGTTGCTCTCCTTTTAACTATAGTTGTAAGAAGATAAGAATTCTGAACTGTAATTAAAAGCAAAAGGCAGAGGAGAAGTGAGGTAGAAATCCTAGAGCAGGTGCCCCTAGCAGTTTTTGGTTGGCACATTTGAAATTTTAGCGAGACAGGCATTTTCACAAAATGGCTTACACAAGAGGGTTGGCCATTCCCAAAATTTTATAGAATGCAAACTAGTAGGCTAAAAAAAAAAAAAAAGCAATCTACTCTCAAGGCAAAGATGGTATCTGAGCTCCAAAATAAAAAACCACACTTTTTAACCTATATTTTTCTGTGGATACTGATGGAGTTCTTGGCCAAGACAAGTAACTTGGCCAAAATGCCAGGTAGGATTGTTGGAAATAGAAATGGCTTTGGAGACTGGCACTTCATTTTACAAAATGCCAGTCTTCCAGTTAACACCAGCAACATATTATTATTTTAAAAATTGTTAAAAGTAAAATGCAAATCAGGAGGAGCAGGGAGACTCATAGGTGCCCAAGGGAGCTATCTGTGGGCATTGCATTAGAGACTCCAGCTCAAGATACACACTAAACATTCCCAATATTTTGCTTTTGTTATTCATGTGTGCCGAAGAGGAGGTAGGCAAAGAATGTCACTTCTTATTCCCCAAAAGCTAGGTAATATTAAGGCTGTGCTAACAGGGTGTATTTAGTTCTTCAAATAGAGCAGTAGTAAATACATAATTAGCAATTCTGTACACTTCTATTACCGTTGCTAGTGAATAAATGAACACCTTTAAGTTAATTAACTCTGAAATGACTTAAATTATTGTGACCAGTGAAGCTAAAGTTTTGAAAGACACATGTGAAAATAGTTTTTGAAATACTATTTGCTTTTAGATTTCAGAATGTTCAAGTTATTAAAGCTTTTTTGTGGTGTTAATTGATAATAAGAAATCACAATGTTAAGATTCTAGTTTTGAAATAGGGATACCTATTTCAACCTAAGATCAGAACTTAAGTCTGATTATCTTCAAATGCCCATTTAGGGTGTGACATTTAGGGTGGAGAATAATGATCTAGTAATTGCAAGAATTCTTCATGGAGGAATGATAGATCGACAAGGTCTTCTGCATGTGGGTGATATCATTAAAGAGGTTAATGGGCATGAAGTTGGAAACAATCCAAAAGAATTGCAAGAACTTTTGAAGAATATTAGTGGAAGTGTCACTCTGAAGATTCTACCTAGCTACAGAGATAATATTATTCCCCAACAGGTTAGTAGCACTATGCATGATGTGAAGCTATGGGAAGGCATGTTTCTCATTTGTTTCCTTTTCATAACTAACCAAGTATATCAACTCATTCAGTTGTGTTTATACTTAAAGTAACCATTTGTCTGCTAACTACTTGCTTACATTTGATGTTTCAGCAACAGTCACTCAACAGAGTGTTAACAGACTGTCTTAACCCTAGACTGTGTAGGGTTGATATCCTGTGCATACTGTAAGGTGCCAGAATCAGATCCCACAATCAGGGTTTTCTTTCACTCATAATGCACTGGTTGTGACCATTGCATTTGAGTAGTTGCACATTACTGTCTATAGTAGGGCTTCACAGAAAATCCCCAAAGATGGTTATTTATATATTTATCTTAGCTATTTTCTCTTCAACCTGAAGTAGCATTACATTCACTGGTATCTAATTTTTATCCACTTTCTTAATATGTACATAACCTCTCTGAACTTCCCTTTTCTTTTCTACATTCTTGCTTTAGTATTTGGTGTCTGAGATTCAATTTTATTTTTGTTTTATAAGATGTAGAAAAATATTTGAAGTCTGTGCATGACTAATAAAATGTTTGCAAGCCAGCACTGTGTGGTTGACTGAGCTTTGGTCTGATTCCCAAGTGCATAAGGTAGAGAAGAAAATCCCATTGCATAAAAAATGAGTCTGACTTTCCCAAAAGATTTGCAGAATCTACTTGTTCTGTCAGAAGGGACATTTTCTTCTAAACCATGGAGAATAAAGCTTGCTAATTAAATGTTTAGGAAGCACTAGTTTTGTCTTTGAATTTAAAACAAATGTGAGTTGTTGGTAGACATTTTGAATGTTTGCAGTTCTTTGGTGAAATGTGTTTGACTGGGGCTTAAAATTGTTTGTTTAATTTTGCTCTTCTCCAAAAAGCTTTTGGCAGCTTCCATTGATAAACACAATGTAACACATAGCATAAAATAATTTAGAAACATCTGTATATGCTCTACCCTGCAGAAAAATTGAGATAAAACAAATTTCATGAACTTATCTATATTCTAAATGGTCTCTACGACTACTTTATTCTTTTTCCCAAAAACTCCATGCTTGAACTCTGTTAGTTGCTGAGACTGTTTGAGCATGAGAGCAAAATGCAAAGTTAGTTGAGCATATATAAAGTATTTTTTCTTATGCAGCTGATTACCTGCAAACTTTCCTTCTGCATGTAGAATTAAGGAGGATTATCTCTTTCCACAATAGATGGCATGAAGACCCACACAGGCCTGAGTCCTGGCATTCTTCTTGCTTAAAAATTAAGCACTGTTACCACTTCCCTTTGAGAACACAGTCATCCCATTTTTTGGAGATATTTAAAATACACTCTGTGGTAATACTCTTATACCAGTGCTAAAGTAGTCAGTAATTCAATCCTAGTTCTGTTCACTGCTTTTACCTGCTAGGATCATAATTGCCTTTTTACTTTGTAGTCTCTATTTTTAGGGAAGGAAAAGGGTTAAGGTATATGCAGCTTGTGAACTTATTAAGCATTTGTAAGACTGTTAGAATTCTAGCATTTGAAGCTATTTTTATTATCTGTTTCAGGTATTTGTGAAGTGTCACTTTGACTATAATCCATATAATGACACTCTGATTCCATGCAAAGAAGCAGGGCTCAAGTTTTCCAAAGGGGAAATTCTTCAGATTGTAAATCGAGAAGATCCAAATTGGTGGCAGGTTAGAAAATGTTAAACTTAAACATAATTCAAATCTTTATGGTATTAAGCCAATCTTTTTCAGAAATGCTTAGGAACTGTGTTGACCTGACATACTTTCGCAGCCCTAATGTGCTGCCCATAATCTCATTGTACAAAGTCTTCCTATTCAAATACGCACCACATTGTTTTTAAAAATGATCTGCCTATGTTTGGGTGTCAAAAGAAATTGCTTTCAAACTTCAGTTGTTGGAAGCTATTTATTGCGTATATTCATAAATATTCAGAGCTGTTACATAATATTTAAAATCTCATATTCAGATCATCCATTTTGGATGGCCACAGTGACCCTCAAATTCAAGAAATTTGGGGAAGCTGTGTTTAGTGAGAATGCAGGATGAAAACATACTAAAAAAATCTACTGGTACACATATGTGTACTTAGGCTGTTTATTTGTTATATTACCTTACCATAAAGGGGTTGTCAGATATTCTGGTGATTAAAAAGGGATCCACACTTTTTGCAATGTATACAGTCATAGAACTAAATCTCTTGTAGAATTTATTAATCACCAAATTCCAATCCCATACTTGGACCCTGTGGCAAGAAATATTTCATGGCTGTAAGTTCACTGCTTGTGAAAGGAAACAGAAATAGATAATTTGTATAGAAATGCATCAAGCTTTTTGTCCAATACATTCCAGTTGAATGGAAATCCAGTATTTGGGGGATTCTTCTTAGTGATACTTCAGGAGACATGGAAGTGGCTGATGTATTTTCCCACGGAATTCTGCTCCTTATTTGCACACAGCATATGCACCTTTGCTCTATCTTTCTTCCCTCTCCTTTGCCCCAGTGCACCAAGTTAATATGAGTTTCATATTATGTCTTAGTCAGTTTGATGTAAGATAACATCACACCAGTAATGTTCATTTTTGACATTCTTATGGGCTTTTCGATACATATGTGTGTTCCTGAATTCGAATCAAATGCCTGTTGATACACGCAATATAAGAAAAGTGCAGAGTGTTGTTCAACCATGAAATCTTACTTCTGGGTTTTAAAAAGCAAACCTATGAAGTTTTACAAGATTAGTTGAATGAAGTCAAAGAAAATGGTCATACGTAATGGTGCAAAATGGTATAGAAAGTCTTACTGAACAGGAGTCAACATGGTTTCTGTAAAGATAAGTCCTATTTCACTAATGTTTTAAATCTGTTTGACAGCATCGGCAAATCTTTGGATGGGGTGAGTTGACAGACATTGTACATTTGGACTTTCAAAGATCTTTTGAAGGAGTCTTTCATCAAAGACTTGGCAGTCATGGGACAGGGGAATGGGTTGTCTCATAGATCATTAACTGTTTGAAAAATAGAAGGCTGAGAGTAGGAATAAATGGATAATTCTTACAATGGTGAGAATTAAGAAACAAGGTCCTCCAGGAACTGCAGTGGGACCAGTGCTTTTTAACTAGTTGATAGTTTATCTGGTGTTAGGGGTGACTTAAGTTGCAGATAGCACCAAATTATTCAGGGTGGTAAAAACCAAAAAGACTTCAAAAACTCAAAATGTATTAATTTATTAGATTTATATCCTGCTTTTTTTCTTACAAAGAACTCGAACCCAGATTGCCTGAGTCCCAGTCCTGTGCTCTTAACCAATACCCCACACTGACTCTCTCTCAAAAAGATCTCTCCCAATTAGTTGTGTAGGCTAATATTATTAGAGTCCATAAAATGTCAAGGAGTCCTTGATCTTCAAGTTGCATGGCTAGCAGTCTGTTCAATATCCTGAGCATTCTGTGGAATGTGAGCATGATCCAGACTGAAACTGTCGTTCCTAAGAACCTGCTTCCACTGAAAAGAGTGGGGTTAGCTCCTAGTTATTCTCTGGAGCTGAGAACACTGAAACAAGTAGGGACAGAATATTTTGACATAATCTGTAAAACACCAGTCAGTGTTCATTATCAAGTCTTCATGGTGATAATGTATGTTTGTGCTTTGAGGATAAAATTGCAGGCCTCCATGGTGACTTGGAGGCAACAGTTGAATCAAGCTTATGTAAATGTCCGGAGCTTCAGCTAGATGTGAGTTAGATCAGATGGAAAAAATGGGTAGATAATGATAGAATCATCCAATGAAACTGATTGGAAAGCCAATCAAGACAGACAGAACAACAGACTTTCTTCAATGTGCTATTAATTTGTGAAATTTGTTGCCAGAACATGTGATGATGGTTTGTAGGGCTTTAAAAGAAGATTAGACAAATTCTTAAAAGTTGAGTCTGTGTGCAACCTCCAAGTGCAAAAAAGATAGTATAACACTGGGTGCAATAGAAAAGGGCTACTGCCTTCATGACCTCTTTGTGAGTTTCTGAGAGGCATCTTTTGGAAAAATGGGATGTTGGACTAGATAGGCCATTGGTCTGGTCCAGCAGGGTGACATTCTGGTTTACAAAATAACTGTAGTTGCCTCAGGGAAGCTGCTTAGAGCATTTAAGAGGTAATCGGAAATCTTAGCTATGTTGAATCTATTCAGACTAAATATGTTTGGCACTAAAATATGCAAAACTGTTTATGAATCACTTGAGTCTACTTAGGTGCACATTTCATACTAGAAATAAGCTAATGAAATGAACATTTAAAAATCTTAACTAGTAATAGAGTATCAAAACTGTACTCTGCAGATGTTCACTTAAGGGTGATTTTTTATCCCCGCAGACATCTAATCACTGTTTTAGGAAAGCCCAACTATTCTAACACCTGCACTGAATCTGAATGCTCCAAGTGCCACCCACTAGCAGTGTGCTAGGTGTTTTGAATCCAAATGTGCTAATATAGTCAAACCAGGGCATGTTAAATAAGTCCTTTCCTAAATTAGATGTTTGCATGGGTTGGTGCCAAAATGATAGATGTTTTTATTTGATTACAGGCTAGCCATGTCAAAGAAGGAGGAAGTGCAGGTCTTATTCCTAGCCAGTTTTTGGAAGAAAAGAGGAAAGCATTTGTTAGACGTGACTGGGACAATTCAGGTAATGTACACAGCAATACAGTTCTTTGCATCACTTTTGTGTCTGTAAGATTCATAAGGTATGAATGATGGAGTTAATGTAACAGCATTGGCAATTACAAATTTAAAAAAGAACAAGAATTTAAGCATTTATTCATTTGTAAACTTGAGACCTTTCTGCCACCTGCTGGTAAATATGCAATATTAAGTGAAAATAAAATTCTGGTATATTAAGTAGAAGAGAAAATTCTAAATTAACATTTACTGAATTTCCATGGAATGCTTAGGACTTTGTGTTTTTACAATTGTTTTCTCTCTCTTCAGGTCCTTTTTGTGGAACAATAAGTAGTAAAAAGAAGAAAAAAATGATGTATCTCACAACTAGGAATGCAGGTATTTGAATTTATGCCAAATGAATGTTACATCACACAATATAATGTTATACCAGAACAGAACAATCTTAAAAACCCATTAGGTTATTTCCTTATTATCATTTTGTTTCTGATTTATATTTATAGTTTATATCTGACTTTTCAGATAGACCTGCTATATTTTTTACTCCTGTGCTTCTGTTTGCTTTCTCTTTCTAAGATCATATAAAGGGAAGTCAGGCTTCCTGTACTTTTTAAAAGTTGGAGACCAGAATAAATTCTGACAGAACCCTCACCTTTATGTAACAAGCTGCAGCTACTGCAATTATTTCTTCGATATAATTTAATGATGCTAATAGTTGAGCCATCTTAGGCCCTAGAGAGCATTCTACTTTGAGATCCCAACCCACTGGTAGAAAACCAGTGCCTATTTAGCCTTGTGTTAAAATAGATGCAGTAAGAATAGAATGAGGAACTAAAGCAAGGACTCTGGAATAGAATAGAATAGTAATTCTAAAAAGACATTTGTCACTATTTACTTATGGTAGCAATGTGCAGGTACCCCCTCTGCCGATGTATATGGGACACACAGAGAGGATCAGCTGCAACCATTGATCCTGCCTGCCAGGGTCTGTGCATTTAGCCCTTAGGTTAAATGGACAGTACATACACAGGCCCCTTAGTGCAGCTTGAATCTGGACTCATCAGGGTTCTAATTTTTATGGAGGAATGAGACACTTTCACCCTGACACTGAATGCATGGCCATTGGCTCAACATATGCATTGGTATGCCCCAGCAGCTTAGCAATACTGTTAACTTCCTAAAGGAAGGTCTATTAAAGTTCCCCTATAATATACTATATTATATACTATATTATTATATTATATAGTATATTATATACTATACAATCTATACTTTATTCAATAAGATGATAGTGCTATAAAGTTTTGAAATTTTATTTAATTTTACATAGTTTTGATTTTAATATGTTGCACTCTTATATCTAGAATTTGACCGTCATGAAATTCAGATATATGAAGAAGTAGCCAAAATGCCTCCATTTCAAAGAAAAACACTTGTGTTAATAGGAGCCCAGGGAGTGGGCCGGCGAAGTTTGAAAAACAGATTTATTGTACTAAATCCTACTAAGTTTGGAACCACAGTGCCATGTAAGTTTCCATTTTCTGTTTGTAACATTTTGTTCTCTGCAAATTGTTCATTGATTCATTAAATGTATACTAACTTCTTGATCTTTTCCCATCCTTCTGACAATGTGAGGCTAATGTAGGTATTGTAGATACTTTTAGGCAAACTGTCATACAAAAAGAAAGCTAAAGTGACTACAAGTCAAAACTCCAGGAATAATCTTGCTTGATTATCTAGTAACTAGAATGTTTTTCTATTATGGGGGTTGGGGGGATTATTTTTGCATTTATTTATTTTTGCAGTAAGAGAGTGCCAGCGAGTACATGAACAATGTTGTTCCAAAGCACATTCACTTGGCATTAAGCCCTGTTGAACTCAGTGGGGTTTCCAAGATTGTGTATTACATAAGCATTAAGACTGTTAATTTTAATAATGGAAAATACTTTTCTCAATATTTGGATGTGTCAAACCTTCTCTTTATACAATGTAGCGTACACTATTAGTTGTATAATGTATAAGTTGGGCTTCATGCCTGGTTTTGGAATGGAAACTGCCTTGGTTGGCCTATGGTATGACCTCGGCTGAGAGAGAAATACAGGGAGCATGAGTAGCTTTTGATTGCATTGACCATGGTATTCTGGACAGGTTGGCCAGATTGGGAGTTGGGGGCACCAGTTGCAGTGGTCCTGCTTGTATCTGGCTGACTGTCTCCAGATGGTGGTGCTGGGGACTTCCACTTTGTACCACGGAGTCCTGCAGGGCTCTATCTTGTCCCCCGTGCTTTTCAACATCTACATGAAACCAGTAGAAGAGGTCATCAGAAGGTTTGGGCTAAAGCATCATCATTATGTTCTCCCTCTCATTCTCATCGAATCCAGGTGAGGCAGTGACTGTTCTAAACCAGTGTCTGAGCTCAGCAGTGGATTGGATGTAGGCCAATGAGCTCAAGCTCAGTCAGATAAGAACAAAGTGCTGTTAGTGAGGATTCCATCTGTCCAACTGGGACTTTTCAACCCAAATGGGGTTGGGCTCTCCCAAAGGACAAGTCACAGTCCTGGATCTCCAGTTGTCACCTGTTGCTCAGGTGGACTCGGTAGCCAGGAGTGTGTTTTACTAGCTTCAGCTTGTGTATTAGCTTGGATGAGCAGAGCCTTGCTATGGTTATCCATGCACTGCTAACCTCCCACCTGGATTACTGCAGTGCCACCTTTGAAGATGGGCTGGACTTTGCAACTTGTCCAAAATTGGGCAGCATATCTGTTGATGAGAACTGGCATTCATGAACATATTACACTGGTCCTGCGCAGACTGCACTGGCTGCTGATTGTCATTCAGATCCAATTCAAAGTGCTTACAATAACATACAAATCCCTAAATGGCTTGGGGCCAGGCTGTTTGAGGGAATGCCTGTCTTCATATGTACCAAGTCAATCACTGCAGGTGTCATTTGAAGCCCTACTCCATATTCTTCCCCCTAACTGAGTAAAAGGGGAGATGGCAAGGAAGAGGGTGTTTTCCACAGTAGCGCCCCAAGTGTGGAATTCAATCTCACTGGAGATCAGGTTGGCATCATGCCTTTATTCCTTCAAACACCAACTAAAAATGTTCCTTTTCTGCAACGATTGTGATGGGTGAATTGGTAGTTTTCGAATGGTTTTTATTTGGTTTTTATCATTAATTGCTGCTGCTACATTGCAATTTTAGTGTCAGATGTTTTCTTAATTTATGTATGATTTTATTTTACTTTTCTTCAGGTTGTTTTAATTGGTTTAATATATTGATTCTCATTTTATGTCCCCTCTCATCTTGTTTTATCTCATTTTATTTTATTTTAAAATTAATCTCACTGGTTATTTTATTATATTTATTGATTTTAGTGTTACTACTGGTTTTATTGTGAATTGTTTTAATTGTCTTGCATATGTTGTGAGGTGCCCAGAGAGCCTTATGGGTAATGGGGCAACATTAATTTGCTTTCACTGCAGCTTCACTTCCTTTGATAATCTGTGCCTTCTGTTAACTTTTTCTGCTCTCAAACTCCAAAACAGTATCATATTCATTTTCACTTTCTGTTTTGATATGAGGATAAGATTAGAATCTATAGCAGGAAAATACAGATGTAGAAGGAAATATATTTTTGTATATTTGTAATATTTGCTACTTCAAGGGTTGTCTCCAGGATCTGTTTTTCAATAGTACAATAACATTGAAACTGGAGAGCCTCACCGCCTTTGGATGACATGGTTTTGTCTACTGTGATGATATAACTATACATATGGCAATATCTCTTTTAGTTACTTCTGTGTCTGTGTGCGTGTGTGTATCAAATTGCTTTAGTTACGTCACGAAAGCCAAGGGATGATGAAAAAGATGGACAAGCATACAGGTTTGTGTCACGAGCTGAAATGGAGGCAGACATTAAAGGTGGAAGATACTTAGAACATGGGGAATATGAAGGAAACCTTTATGGCACCAAAATAGATTCCATCCTCGAAGTGGTTCAGACTGGCAGGACGTGCATCTTGGATGTAAATCCACAGGTATGCTGGTGTAATTCTTTAGCCAAGAAAAGTATCAAAGGAGAAAGATTGTACAGTTTACCAAAGCAGGATAAGTTACCCATAAGGCTTTATTTTACAGCTGAGTGAGTAATAATCCCATTTTGAATAGTGAAGAGATTTCCTGAATTGGAGACTCCAGCATATAGGAAAACCCTTACCTTATTAGAAGAGGACTAGAGAAACTTTATTATTGGGCTGTATCTATCTCTTTGAACAGCACACTGAATCCTGAAGCAGGATGAAAAGCCAAATTAACTGGTAAAAGCCAGATTGGCTAGATCTATTTTTTTCATTTCCATTGTGACAATGTATCTTGTGCCAAGCACCAGAAGCAATCTTCTTGAGCACTATATCATGATGCATTTTTGTCCCTCTCCCTTTGCCAGTGTTGTTATCTCCAGGTATCCTTGGCACAAAGTGCAGGGGCACTGCTATGCATACGCTCGAATCACTATTTATTAGAGGCAGTGTTCCCTCCATAGAAGTCTTATTACGTCTGGACTGAGAGAAGCCTGGGGTTGGAGCTCTCTTCTAAAAGAGGCCCACTTCATTCATTTTCTGACAGTGTTTCATTGCTCTGCAAAGACCTCACCTCTCTGACAGAGCAGAATATAATATTTCTGACATTCAGTTGATATATCTGCTTAGTCTTTACCCTTTTGTCTGTATTGTTATTTTAATATGTCCATTAAAGGCTGTTATATTGTAAGCCACATTAAATATTTTAATGGCAAGGAAAAGCATCAGTATGTTAATAAATAATGAACTATATTATTTGATTTATACAACAGAGTTTGGGGGTACCTTTTTCTATTATTTACTCCTATTATGAGTTACTAATAATAACAGTAATAATAATAGCAAAAGAAGTAATAAAAAGTAAAGAAAGAAGAATAGAAGAAATACTGGAGATGTACCCATTATATGCTATAATTATCCCATTATAGTTCTGCTACTCATTAATCCATCTGAGTAGTATAAGTGAATTTAAATTTTAAGTGGGGAAAAATAGAATATGAAATTATTCACGCTAATGCTGCTTTCTACCTAACATTCAAAATGCTGAGCAGTATAAATGCTTTGTTATTTCCAGGCACTTAAAATATTGCGGACATCAGAATTTATGCCCTATGTTGTGTTTATTGCTGCTCCAGAACTAGAGACACTACGTGCAATGCACAAAGCTGTGGTGGATGCGGGAATTACAACAAAACTTCTAACAGTAAGAAAACCATTCATGCACAAACTGGAGTTGTTCCATCAACACTAACTTTTGTGTTTAAAGCTCTCTTGTGTACTAATGGTTACTTTCAGAACTTTCTCTTCTTCATTTGTGTTTTTTGCAATTCTTGAACATTTTTAATTGGTTTGCACATTGTTGCAGGTCTTTATTTCATTCTCTTCCCCTATGGCTGGGTGGGCAGGTGGCTTTTCTAAATTTCTGGGTGGGCAGGTGGCTTTTCTAAGTGATGTTAAAAGTGCTTTTTTATTTGCATTCCAATATGCTTTAAAATATGTGGATATGCTTGATGCAGTGAATAACCAGTGCAACCACCATTTATTCACAGCAAACTGAAACATGTATGTACACTTGTTCCTGTAAAAGGGATATAATGTTACAGATGCATTCTATTACTAGTTAACTTACATCAGCCTGCCCACTCTTCAAGGTCAGCAAAGAGAGGCAAGCCTCACTTGCCCACATATGAGAGCTCGTAGGTGGGCGTCCATGCGAGAAAGGGTTTTCTCTGCGAAGACCTCATGTTTCTGGGATAAGTTGTCAACATTAGGTGTGCCAGGTTCCATTATTTGCAGGCTTTTAAGAAAGCTCTGAAAACGTTGTTTTACTCTGGCCTTTCCTGATAGATTTGCTGCTGTTGCTTTTATTGCCTTTATTTTAACACCACACTGTTTTTAAGTATCCCATTGTTGTATTCCCCCTTAGGAGGGCTCCTGCCCTGAGAAGTGACCAGTAAATATTCCAAATAATAATTAAGATAGTGAGTGGTACTATGGCATAGAGACTTTTTCTACAGTATTTCATTTATTCATCTTGCAAATTTCTGTACAGCTCTCCAGCTTTAAATGTGCTTAGAAACAGACCATCAGCCAATGTAACTGTTTTAAGAACTGCTGCTACATGATCTATGTGGCTAGTCTGAGTTAGTACAAAATGCAGCTGCTACTTGACTAACAAGTTCCTGGAAGTTTTCAGATGCAGCCCATGTACAACACATTACAGCAATCTAATCTGAAGGCAGTTGCATTGCCTGAAAGTAAGATGTCAAAGATAGTTGGGCAAGTGGTAAACAAGAGTTTGAGTTATCATGCAGTTTGCAGATCTTTTGCTGCATTTTATAAAAGTATTTGCCTTTTCCAGGTATTTACATATTAGCACGCCTAAGACAAGTTTGGCACATTTTGCTGGGAAGCAGGTCTTGTCATTGGGAGTAATTAAGTTATGACACAGATTTTAAACACAATGCAGATTCTGAAAGTCCATGGTTTAATATTTTGCTTTTTACTTGTGTGTCAATCTTCTAACAGGATACTGACTTGAAGAAAACAGTTGACGAGAGTGCACGGATTCAGAGAGCATATAGCCACTATTTCGATCTGATCATTGTGAATGACAATCTAGACAAAGCCTTTGAAAAGTTGCAAACTGCTACAGAGAAGCTGAGGACGGAACCCCAGTGGGTCCCAATTAGCTGGGTATACTGACAGGTGTTTAGAAGACTGGTGTAAACACCACCTTAAGCTAGCTGAAACATCATACAAAGAAAATGTTGTATAGAGGTGCCAGAATCCAGTGCATTTTTATTCTGTGTATATTCAGATAATGGTATGCTATTCCAAGTTTTATACAAAATGCTGAAGGGAAAGTGTACTTAAATATGTAATTTATTTTAATTTTTCTAACTTTTTACAAATAACCTTTCTATTCATATCACATGAAGGAAATGCATTGAAGCATTTTATAAATGTTTTGATTTACTACTTTGCCTTTACTTATCTAAGGAACTTTCCAGTCATTCACTTACACATTTGGTCTTACATTTTCACTGTGATAAGGAAAAAAATACTTGAAAAATGGTTTTTGGTTTTTGTTTTAACTAAATTGATCATTTCATCTGGTCAGTTTTACCTTATTTAGGAGCAGACACTAATCCTTATCCTAATAAACATGTCAGTCTTCTTAATATGAGTAGAATTTTCAATAATTAAGAAGCAACCAGCACTGAGCCATGTTACCAAGACCTTTTTGCTTAATATTTATACATGCGTTGCAGTTGTCCTGTTTTAGACAAGTGTACTGTACTTTCCTGTATATGTTATCTTTTTACGAAAAGTAAAAGCAATACCTTGAACTTTCCCTGGGAGGCTGCTTTGACAGGCCAACATATCGATCCATTAGAATAAGTATTACTTTTTTGAAGAATTACGTAATGTAAGTCATTGTATTTGGAATCATGGTGAAGTAGCCTAAGAGAGCCTTATCATACAGAGCCTTGCAGTGAGGCTCAGCATGTACAGTGTTTGTTCTTACTTGTGAAAAATCATTGCTTCAAACAGAACCTGCTTTTTTAATGATGACCCTACTCTGTATTTGTATATTGTTCTGTGATGGGCTTTAATTTTAAACCAGAATATTTATGAGTGATTATGTGTGTTTATGAAATGTGATGTGATGGGACTTCTGAGCTATCTGTTACCTTGTGTTAAACTGCTTTATTCACCAAATAGCTTGTGAACTAAAGTTATTGTCAGATACTAAAATTCAGTGTTATTTATAAGTGGGTTAATTTTTGTTTTACAAACATTTGTTTTACAATGTTCATAAAACATTGTAAAAGTCTTCTCTTTAGTAGATGAATTGATTCATATTCTCTTAGGTTCATTTTCATTGATCACTTAAACACTTGCTCGTGTACATTCTGTGTAATGAATAGGGTTGTCTGCAGAATGTCACAAAAATCAGCCTAGTCTGGTGACCATATTTTATATTAAGCTTGCTGTTGTAAATATGCCCATTCAGCACGATCATGCTAGGTGCTTGAGTCAGTTGTCATCTACCCATCTCATTGATTTTTCAATTTGAGGAGAGGCACTTGGCTTCAGAGTTTATTTTCAACACCAAAGTATCATGCACAAGATGCCAACAAAGGAGACTTCTTGGAAAAGGCTGAGAAAGTGCAAACAAATTCTTAACCTTTTTGGTTTTTAAACGTTTTGACTGTGCACAAGAAAACAGGGTTGGGATAGTTTTTATTTTATACAAAGATATGATAAGACACCAAAAAGGTATTATAGATTAAAAACCTTTAAGGTATTTTTTTAAAGACTTAAGTATATTTTGTAAATGTTATGCAAATAATTGCATATCTTTGTCTTAATTGCTGTTGGTACTTAGATTTTAGCTTTCAACAATATAAGATATTTTTTAAGAAATGTATTAACTTCTGTTGCATCAAATCTATAAATAAATAGGCTGATTTTAATTATTCAAAAATGTATGCAGCTAAGTTTTAAGTTATTTTCATGATCCATAACCAGAATGCCACTTCAAAAGTTAGTGTCCTGCAGTTTTGATGCCATTGTAGGAATAAGGGATGAGGTACAGTGTAATAACTACTTTTACTGGTTTTAGCTTTGTTTGAGTGGACACTTAAGTGCAAGAAATTAGTGAACCTTAACACCAAATGTTTACTCTTTGCTCCTTTGTTTTCCAGTACTTTACTGGGTGGCATTCCAGTAGGCTTGGTCGTATTCCATCTAGCCAAATTGAAATAGAAGGCTCAAGTTGAATTTAGGTAGCCAAGACTGCTCTCTTGCTTGAAATATCAGCAAAACCATCTGGAGGTGAGGGAGAAGAGTCCTAAATCTGAATATTTATTTAATCTGCTTGAAGTTCCATTTTAGTTCAGCACTACAGATTTGTATGACTCACTTTGGTTGGAAACCAGGAGTTAAGTAGTAAACAGATCTTATATTAGAAAAAGATCTGTGAATAATTTAACAGGACTTTGTTTTTGGTATTAAAACCAGAAGCTTAGAATACAAATGGTGTTGCCCACAGAAAATATAAAGAAGGCAAAGTATGATGAAACATTAGTATTTGTCTTAATTATGGTCAGATAATTTGTTAAAGCTAAGAAGCATGTCTGATCTCTCCAGACGCAGATTTCATGCTGCTACTTTTTGAAGATCTTGAAAGAACTGATTGTATTAACACAGGGGTAGGCAACTTGTGGCCCTCCAGATTGTTTTTGCTTACACTCCCCAACATAGTCAATGGGATGATGGGAGTGATCGGCCAAAACACCTGGAGCCAAAACACCACAAGCTGCCCACCGCTACTTTCTTAGTACTTGATTTTTTTAGATGCAGTCTTGGTACAAAGTTGGTGCAGCTGTTCAAACCACCAGTGTCATTGCCATTGTGCAATGAGAAACAAGTCCATGCCATAGGTAGGCATATCTGTCTTTAATACGAATGCATGTCCTTGCATCAGGTGGCAGAAGAACGTTTTGAACTGTGATGCCAAAGGAGGGTTGTGCTAGCCCCTCCCTTGCTAGTTTTCAAAAAGTAATTTTATCTTCCACACCATAGTGCCGCAATTCAGTTTTTTCTGCACTTGTACTTTCAAATACTGAGTATGCAGAATTTGAAACTTCTAAATGCAACACCCAGTGTATTCCTTGACACTGTAGGGTAGTGGAAAGGGGGATACACCAGCCAAAATTCTAGTCCTCTTGCTGTGGACAGTGCCATGATGGTGTGTTCAATATGTCAGGTGAGGAGTATACCAAAAGATGATAAAGCTCATCGGTAGATCACCTGCTTTGCCTGTTAATGGCCCAAGGTTCAGTCAGTTCCATCTTCAAGCAGTGCTGGAAAAGACTTCTCTGAAACTATACAGTTGCAGCTTTCAGTTCAGGCAGTATTGAATTTAAATATGCCAATAGCCTGACTTGCTATAAAAGAGCTTCCTATGCATGGAGACGGCCTCCCCTCCACACACACAGACACACGTACGTTGGAAGTTAGAACAAAGGCTTGCTATATTTTGTGCTTTTGAGGGCTCCTTTTTATAAGAATCAAGTATTATTTTCCAGACTTTTCCTTCATTACCTAAGAAAGTTAGATGAATGGAGGTGATTTCACATGTTTTCCAAACTGCAGAATGTATATTTATGAGAAAGACAGTACATCAAGTATAGACAGGAAAAAGTTACTTAAATTTTAACCCTGATAGGCTGCTTCTGCTGGAGTTGTCTCAAACTAATTATTTATGTATTGAAATACATAGGTATTGTGAAAGTTTGGAAGAACTATTGAGTGTAGAAAACTATTAAAATTGCATTGATACTTTAAAATCCACAAGCAAAACTGCATATGCTCAGTTTTTTAATAAAAGTGAGCTGCATATCATAGCTAATTCATACACTCAGAGTAGTTTTTAAACCTGAACTCTAAAATGGCATCTTGAATTCAGTGCAGTTCATTGAGAGGTATACAGTGTGAGAAATGTAAATCAGGTTTACATTCAGGTGTTTTTTTCCTGTTTTGCCTGCAGTGTTTTCACTTAAAATACTAATTGATATAAAAATATTAAAGACTGCAGAGTTTATGAAGAAGGCTGGTTAAGGCCCTAGGCAAAACTAATTTCATTTTAAAGGCATTTAAGTCATCAATAAGTATCCAGTTACTTGATCTTTTGAAAAGCAGAGCTGCTATTCTATTTAATATGTTTCTAAATGTGCAAATACAATATAATATAGCGATAGACTAGTCCATTTTAACATAAGAAAGTTTAGGAGAAATCTAGTTCCCAACGTATAAGGCTTGAGTGTAAAGATTACAAGAGTGAAATTAGTACAGCCAAATCTTGTCACAGGCTTGCAAACTTGAACCTAGGTGTTGATGAATAGCAGTCAGCCCCCTTTCCATTTTAACCACATGTGTTCATGCCTGAGGAGAACCAGCATCTCTAGTCAATGCACTGGTCCCACGCATGGATCATGGATTTAAATGTTATGTGCGCATGCCAAAGCATAAGACAGAAACAAAGATAAACGTAAAGGAAATTCCTCTACTGGTATCTGGAAGAGACCTCATGATTTGGGATCTTCAGTATGGCCTACATTGGGAAACACTGAGAAAATAGAACATTTTTTACATTCTTTCAGAAACATCATCCCAAAAGAAGGTAATGGTCATTTTCTTTTTCCTATGCCCACCCTTGCATATTATATTTAAAAGTGTGGCTTTTATTTCTGCTGTGAACTCCTTTTCTTGGCTTTTTAATTAAAATTCAGTATTTCCAATATGGCCATAAAAGCGGTAAAAATAAAAACAAAGCTTTACATTTTGTCTCATTTTTAAAAATAAATAGCACCTATGAAAACAAGGAACAAGAAGACTTACAGGATTTAAATCTTCTCAGTATTTGGTACTTCAAAAATGTAAGTTTATCATCTGACTGGTTGTTGATTTGTTTGCCTCATATGGCTTTACTTAACATTATCAGAAGTAGATAAAGGAATTGCTTTTCAGCCTCTTGCAGCTAAGGGAATTAGTAACTTTCATTTAACAGTGAAATGTTCCCTTCTGAATAGGAATAGGTTAGAGTTAGTAGTAGCATGGCAGAGAACCAGGATCAGTCTTCCAGGAATTAATCTTTCTAGGTGTTGCTTCTTTTTTAAGTTTAAGGACATGAGGGAAGTTTGATTATGGCTAACCTTAAATATATCTTACCTGTGTTAGTACAAAAATGGTTAGACTTCACTAAATGGCAGTGTACTTGCAAGAGAAAAGACTTTTGTACTGGCATCTGTATTAAACTAATGCAAATTGGATGCTGACATGCATTTTCTGTGAATACGTAAGTGGGCATCCCTTCAAGAACCTACACTTTTTTTTCTTTTTTGGGTGGCGGAGCATGTTAGGTTTATAAGGATAGGTGGCAGAAACCCATTATGGGAGAGATTACCCATTAGTATTTCAAATCCTGCCAAGGTTCTACAATTCAACATTCTGGTTGCTTGGACTTAAGTTTTCGTGAAACATCTGCACCTTGTTTGGTTTCTGTATGTACACCAATGTTACCATGCATTATTTATGCAATATATGATTACAACAGTGAACTTGGTTGCTAGGAGTCTAAGGTATCCCTTCTCCACTACTAATCATAGAAAAACTCTTATCTGTCAGCCACACTAAGTTTAAAATATGCTAATAAAAGAGCATGGGAGAATTACTGAATAATCTGCTAAGAAGTACTGTAAAAACTATTTGGCTGCCTATAACAACTGTTGAAAAACAACCCCTGATGTTTTCACACTAAAAATAATGTTATTGTGTATAATTGTTGAAATGTACAAAGCTGTGAAAACCTGTTAACTCCTAATAAAATATTTTTGTATATATGAAATAAACATTTAATACTAGAAAAATGCATAGTTGCTCTCAGTGCTTGTGAACATTGGCATTGTACAGGGTGACTGTGACCTAACTGGATGATTGTAAATAGGTTTATTGAAAGGCATGTAGCACTAGAACAGGGGTCCTCAAACTTTTTGAATAGGGGGCCAGTTGAAAGGTGCCAGGGATGGGCGCAGGCCACCAAGGCGGTGCGGGCTGGTGGGGGAAGGCGCGTGCACATGCAGAAAGGTAGGGGCATGCATGCACAGAGATCCTTTTCTCGGGGCCAGCTTGCTCACAAGATCATTTTGGACTCACTCTGAGAAAAGGATCTCCCAGCAAGGCGCTGGCTGGCTTGCAAGATCCTTTTCTCCGAGTGAGTCCAAAACAATCTTGCGAGCAAGCTGGCACCTCGCCATGCAGGCACATGCACGCGTGGTGCGCTTTGGCGGGCCGGATCCAGCTCACGGGCCGTAGTTGAGGACCCGTGCACTAGAAGGATACAAGACAACCAGCATGGCCAACGGTGTCTGCTTATATCATTCTAGGCAGATGATGATAAACTGATGTTACAAATGTGAGGGCCTTTTGCCTGTTTGCCTCACTTCAAGAGGCAGAGCAGACTTTAAAACCGCCTCAAAATTTATGGTTGAACAAGTCCAAGTTAATGTGTAATTAGCAGTCCTAGAAACCTGGGACACAAACTATGAAAGACCATTGAGATGAGCACCAGAATTTGATTCGTGTTCAGCAGTGGATCAGGAAAGCTGATTAATCATCATGAACCCACCGCCTCAACTTCTGTGGCCTTACAAGATTAAGCATCAATTATAATCCCTGCTTGGGGCTGATGAGGATTAGACTAACCCTAGAAGACCATAGTTTTTCCCCACCTCCACCTCCAGCTGCATGTAACTAAGTTTGGCATAAATTTCCAGGTAAGTGAATTACTAACAGGCTTTTGATTGTTGACTCTCATTTAGTATGTTACCAATTCCAACTGCTACAACATGCATGTCGACTTACATGACTGGTGAGAAAGATAAGGAGCTAGTGGGTGAGCCCTTGGTTTTAGGAAGGTGTCTAAAAAGTGTCAAAAGCAAAATGTAGCCATAAGGTACAACCATGCACCAATGCCATAGATCCAGATCACTGGTCTCCCAAAAGCAGCACCTTGAACAAACAACCTTGAAATCAAAGGTGTTGACAACTCAAGAATTAGTAAACTGATCTGCAAAACTCTGCAACTGAGTCACAGCATTTGCAAACAGTTTAATACATGCTTTAAGCAAATTTTGGTCCTTGATAATGAGGTGAAACTATTACTTCATGTTCTCTGGGCATCACCATATGTGTGATGCACAGATGACCACTCGAAGAATAGTTACAGGGTAAGCTGACTGACTCCCCCTCCCCCCACCTCTCTATATGTGGCCAATTTCTGAAGCATCAAAAATTTTCTTGCTTTCAAAACCAATCATAATCATGCACTTGGTGAATTTGCTTACTTTAAATATGAAACATTTGTAAAGTTTATTGCTGCCAAGAAGGCCTAACAGTGAAAATGGGCATCATTTAAGTGATAAAAAAGCAATTCTAAACAAAAAGATTAAACCAGTAACATGCTGAATAGACACAGTGTATAAAATATTCTTTGGCCCGAGTATAAAAGCAATTATTTGTGCTTGATTAGAGCCAGACTTTGCATTCCAGAAATGAAAAGGCTCCCCTATTTGTGGAGGAACCAGGCTCTAGGAGAGACACCCCTCAACCTCAGGAACAGCAAGACAAGTGGCCTGCAAGGTGAACCAGAGAAAGTTACTCTATTGCACCCCTCATTTAATGCTTGTGGAATTCTGCTGATTCCATTCATGAGCTTCAGTGATTGCCACATGTTCTCCACCCTAAGCTACCATAAATGGAATAGATATGCCTATTTAGGTCACAGTCTTAACAGCTCCAGCCTTGTTACATACAACTCTCCAAAATCAGAGGCTTACATGCATCCTATGCCCCAAACATAGCACTTGTGATGGCTATCTCTGCTGCTGCCGCATCTTGCACCCTAATTTCTATGGTTATTTCAGTTGTCCAGATAAAGCATTAGGGGGAGGGAAGGAGGCTGGGATGCTGATGGGGGTCATGCCAGCTTTTCTTCCCTCCAGGATGCACTGGCAACTAGAGGGCAGCCAGCACAGCTCTTTCTGCACCACCCATGTGGGGCTAGGGCTGGGTATTTGAACTTCCACGTGACAGGAAGTCCCTTTGAATAATCCTGTGACCCCACCAACAATGCCCAGAGGCCACAGGATACCAGTTAACGGGTGTCAAACTTTGTAATAATAGCACCGATGCCTCCAGAATGCATATGCTCAGTAAATATGGAAATTCTGCTTTGCAAAGTTCTCAATAAAGAAGAAAAAATGGAAGACAGTAGCTGATGTGAGCTGTAGTCCAACACATGTATGAGGTGACCAGCCATAGGACCTACACATACTAGTTAAAGGAAGCAAAGGAAGGCCCTCTACAGAAGGAGTAAATGAGGTTGGCTGAAAGGAATCAGTAATGTGTGAGGACAGTAAAAAGGCATATATCTGCACGTGTACATGTATGCCATTATCTACATATACTGCTGAAGAAGTATCCTTTCATGGCTTCTTGAGATATGCTTGTTTCAGCAAGCAATTTCAACTCTTGCTATGCACCCTTGTTACAGCTACAGCCTATTAGCTAATGTTCCAGTTTCACTGATGCTTATATGTCAGATTCAACCCTATTATAAAGACAGGTATTAAATAAAGTGGCTGGTTCTGCTAGTAAAGCATCCAAGCTGTTCCTTCAAACCTAAACTGTTTTACCATGTAATACCCAAAGTCCATACAATGCTATATAGAGAATGATTGGAGAAAATCTGGGCTGCTTCATGGTTAGAACTCGTATAGAAGACTCTGTCATTTCAAGGTTAATGTTTGATAAAGCAAACAGCCTTTGCACTATCCAAAATTTTCCTGGGTCAGCAAGTGGAGCAAGCAGTGGATCTGTAAGAGTCAACGTGCCGTCCATTGAGGTTGTATTAGGCTGTCCAGAAAGAAAAAGGAAAAAGAGATCAGCATGCTATTCCATCAGTAGCAAGAGAAAGCACAGCTGCTGAGCCACTACGGTGTATCGTCATTTGACACAAGTTCAGATCCCCACTCAGCCCTAAAGCACATAGGCTGACATTGTAAGTCACAATTTTTAAGGTCAAACCTACTTCATAATTATGTTGTGAAGTAGAATAGGTGAAGTGGGAGGAGATTCTTACATGCCAAGTTCCTTGGGGGAAGAATGGCAAATACCATATATACTGGTGTAGAAGACTGCTTGAAAGTGGAAAAAGCAAAAATCGGGGGTTATATGCCCAACGTATAAACAGCCCAAAATACTGACCTCATCTTATATGCAAGTTGCCTTATATGCCAGTATATACAGTATTTTTCTGAAACACTTCCTGGTCACTTCTTCCACTTATTACTGTATATATTGGCATAAAGATGCCCCTTGAAACCAAAAAAAGCAAAGCAAAAATTGGGATCATCTTATATGTCCAACATATAACAAACAGCAGAAAAAGAGTCCAATATATCAACCTTGTCTTATACACAAGTAGACTTCTATATGGTAAATAAAGATACTTAACCTGACTTCCTGTCAAGTGTTTTCTACAAGGCAGTTTTTTCAGTGTCAGAATTCCCTTCCACAGAATATATGTCTGGCTCCTTCTTTAGTGGTTTTTAAATAATGCCTTTGAATTCTAGTCTGCTTTTAAATGCAGATGCTGGTCTGAAGCTTTTTATCTTTGCTAACTATTAAATATTAAAACTAACCCCCACACAAAAAGCAGCAGCTATCTATCTACTTCCCAAAGGCCCTACTAAAAAGCATCGGTACACAGATGCTGCTGAATAAATTCATGCCAATCTTCATTCTATTAAGATTCTTCATTCTATTTTTCCAGTCCCAAGGAAAACCCTTTTTATTCTCTTGGGTGTCTGAATCCTCTGCTTTTCTTTTGTGGTTTTTATTCTCTTGTTTTTAAACTAATTCTGTTTTTTTAAAAAATTGGGCTATTTTGGGAACCAATTGCTTGAAGGCTGTGATATTAACACATTACATTTTTAAAATGTCATGAGACAGCTTCTAAAACTGAATAGAATGCATGTCCCACTGCTGGAGCAGGCTATGGAATGGGGAAAGAGTGTTAGAGGTGAGTTGCAGGGGCCTATACAAGGTTCCTATTCCCAGGACTAATCCAGCTCACACTTTCAGGACTTACCAAGCAGCACAGAGCAGGTATAACTTGGAGTTCACAGCAGGCACGCAGCAGGACAAGTGCATAATCTGACAGTTCTGTGGAAAGGAAATAAGACATAATCATGTTTATTATATGGGTGAAATGCAGCAGATGCAAACACCCAAGAGAATAGGAACATTTTTCTTTGACACTGAAAAAAATTAATACAATGAAATTTTTGGAAAACTTAATGAAGTAAACTCATGAAATGTAGAACTCTGGGCATACAGAGGGCATCCGTAAAAGCAGTTTAAAATGAACCACAAACAAAACATAAGATGACGCAAGGTATGAAAAGGTACAAAGAAGTGCTGTGATTTGGTAAAGGCAGTGCAGATCAGAGAAGTGCAAGTATTGCTTAGGAAGTCGTGGCGGAAGAAAAAAGTTCATTTTGTACAAAGAGAGCTTTTCATAATGAGAGAAACCTAGGTTTCCAGCTTGCTTTGGGGGCAATTTCAGATGGAAATAGCATCTACTGACATTTCTAACCAACAGCTGCTTCCTTTGATAGTCTCAATGCTGCTATATGCTGCTCAATGCTGCATCAGCCTCAATCAGCCTCAATGCAGCCTAATGCTGCTCAATGCTGCATCAGCCTCAATGATGCTATAGCACATTTAGTTTTGAAGATGCACTTGCACTCAAAACCAGAAAGTGATACCATCAGCATGCTAGGCCAGGCGGAAGCTTTCAAGTGCCTTTCAACAGGTATCTGTGAATAAACTCGGTACACAATGAGAATAGTAACCATCTTGTTACTGGATAAGCAAGCCTGCATCCAAGGCTAGTTGGGGATCAGTGATCCACAGCATAGTGCCCAGTTATATGCCCACACTAGAAATGCTGGAAGTCTTTTCTGCACTTGGCCCTGAACAGGAAGCAAGCTGAGCTGAGCGTCAGTCCACGACTGCTCAGGAATTCAAGCAAAGTCTGCAAAGTGCAAAAAGCCTACAAATCACATGTACAGAAGCAGAAATCTGCTTGCACAGCAGCAGTGTGGACAATGTGTTTGCAAGCCAGGCTTCTGAACTTGCTTCCTGCTGGACAGGCATGGTCATACTTGGCATGAGGTGGCTTGAGAGAGAAAGTGGGCTGGAGTTTGGAGAGCTGAGATGAGAAAATCTGGCCTTCTCACCCCCAAACCAGGTCCTTCACACATGGGTAGTCTACCCTAGGAAATGCCTTGTGCTCACAGGGGCATCTCAGCCAGATTCACAAACCACTCCTCAGCCTACCCATCTTTGAACCACGGAAGTGACGCTTTCTGCAGTGGCCCCTCATTGCAAATGCAACCAACTGAAGTGAGTAAAACAAGCTGCGTGCAAACACCGAGTTCAGAAAGAAAGCTGCTCATTTGCTTTTCCTTCTGTACCTGCCACAGCACTGAGGAGGATGTGTGCAGCTAAGAGGAGCTCCTTATTAGGAACTGGACCCTTCTGCATCAACTGCTTGCTCTGTACACTGACTCCTAAAAGATGCAAGAACTCCTCTATATTTCGGTCCTCTGTTGGCTTTAAATCCTCCATTCCTTGGAGTCCTGGGCTGCCTTCAGAACATATAGTGTCCAGCTGTAAAGCAAAACAAAACATGTGTTAAATATGGAACCAAGAACACACCAAGACCTGGAACAATCAAAAGCAGTCTTCCTTCACACACAGTGCAAACCCACAGTTTATATAATCCATAGTTAGCACGTAGTTTGTTGCTTTACCCACGGTTTGTCTGCCAGGCAAACAAACCATAGTTTGTTTCCGCAACCCTTAGCTTGCTTTCCCTGCTCCTTCACCCATCCCATCCCTGTATCTCAAAAGAAGTAGCTGTGTTGCTGGCATGAGGGTTTGTCCCAGTCTCATGACACTTGGGCAAGCTCTCATGACAGCAGTCCAGCCAAGCTTCTGCAAGAGCCCAGCAGTCAAAAAAGCCAACAGTCAAGGGGGAAATGGGTGTTTTGGCACAGAAGCAGCAAGACGACGGCAATCATGCAGGTGGGGAGAGAACTTGAGCAGTGGTTGCCTCACAAGCATATCCTGTAGAGGGCTCCTCTCACTCCTCACTGCTCAGCTCCTATAACCTGGATTAAGGAGACAACTTCCAGAGACACACAAACTTGGTTCCCATGCATGGCTGACCCATAATTTATTTGTGGTTGTTGCCCTAGCTAGAGGTTGTCTGGCAGACAATCCCTGGTTTGTATTCTCAATCCCAGTTTGTCTGGTTCCCTCTTCTTTTGCCTGTTCCTTCCCTGTATCCTAAATGCCTTTGCAGCCTGAAGAACTGGCATGCAGAATAAATGAAGTTGCAGGGTTATCTCGTTTTTCAAACTGTCTTTCTTGTAGCCAATGTAGCCCAGCAAAACAACCCAGGAAGAACTCGTGGTTTTCGGTTAACTTGTAGTAGTAACAACTCATATTTACAACCCAGCAACAAAGAACAGCAGCCTAGAATTCAACCCCCCGTGGGCTGACTAGACCATTTGTCATGGTGACAAATAATGGGTAATTTAACCGATTTTCAGGAATGCACACCTCCTGCAAGCTTTCAGGTTACATAATTGCTAGTTGTCAGTGTGACATACAAGCTGAGACTGTTGTTTTTTTAAGGGACTAAGCAACCCAGCAGTAAACCCATGGTTTGTTGTTGGGCTAACTGCTGGGTTGTTTAGCTTCTAAAGAACCTATCAGCCCAGGTTCACACATCTCAGTCCACAACCGATAAAGGAGTTGGTGAGAGGCCATTTACAGTACACAGATACAGGTCATCCATTTTTATGAACTCGCCCTATGTATAATTTAGGAAACAAAGGTTACCACATCCTCCAGCTGAGCCACCATTTCTTCTTCAAGTAGAAGCTCGCGGAGTATTTTGTATAAAGCTTCCCTCTCTCCAACTGACAGCTTCACAAATGACTGAAACTGGGTCTTGAGATGGAGGATATCTTTCAAAGACAAAAAGAAAAAAGTAAACATACATTATTAGTTGACAGAAGCCATACAGAGATTGTGTCTGTGGTGGTGGAGGGGGAGACTTTCAGCAAGCTTAATACTGTATGTTCATGAAGCAATTTAGACTGCTACTAAATATAATTCCAAGCCACAACACCACAGGAGCAAAACATTCCTGGAAAGGAAGTCTCAGGGCAGTGCAATGCTCTCGGAGCATCTCATAATCTCAGAACTTCTCACAAGCCACTTCCCTCAATTTTCTTGCAGGAAGCTTCTCCTGCATTCAGGGGGTGCAATTCTTCTTGCAAATGGCTTTGGCTGAAGTCTTGCTGTGGGTCTGTTCCCAGTTATCATTCTGCTTCATTAATTAAACAATTTTCTTAAATGTGCTGAATATGCATTTTTTCATCCAGGTACTGATGGCTGATTTCTTTTAGCAGATGCTAAACCTCTTCTTGTAAATTGCATTCAAACTGGATGGGGTGTATGGTTTTGTTTTTGGTTTACAGACTCAGCACTTATTCTGAAATCAAATGTTAAAAACAAGCCACAAGAACAAACCTAACATTCCAGAAAAATGGGAATTTTACAGAATGGACAGAAAACGCAGGAACAGTAGTAGCATAGCAAATGCCAATATCCAAACGTAGAGGACTACATGGAAAGGGTGGTTAAATGCATTTATCTATCTTGGCCTGCCTTCCAAAGGAGGTAGGAGCCTTCTGCCAGGGAAATGGCTCCACTCACAGAACCCAATGTTGATCCATTGCCCCTAACACGGCTCACTCCATTCAGCGGGGCCTCCGGGCTTTGTGTAGCGTTTTCAGGTGGCTGGAGGGCTTGCTGTGGGAAGGAGAGAGAGAGAATGCACTGCTCCAGAACTGCAGGTAATCCAAATATCTGGATTCAACTTAACATGAGCCTTTTAAAAGATCCATGGTAAACTGATCTATTGTTTTCTTTTTGTTTGCTTAGTCGCGAAGTCGTGTCCGACCCATCGTGACCCCAGGGACAACATTCCTCCAGGCCTTCCTGTCCTCCACCATCCCCCAGAGTCCACTTAAGCTCACACCAACTGCTTCAGTGACTCCATCCAGCCACCTCATCCTCTGACGTCCCCTTCTTCTTTTGCCTTCAATCGTTCCCAGCATCAGGGTCTTCTCCTTTCTTCTCATTAGGTCCTTTCTTCTCATTAGGTAGCCAAAGTATTTGAGTCTCATCTTCAGTACCTGACCTTCTAAAGAACAGTCAGGGTCGATTTCCTTTAAGATTGACTGATTTGATTTCTTTGCAGTCATGATCTATTAGTCATTTATTTATAGAGCAGAGCACTTTCTGTTGCAGTTGACCAGCAAAAATGAACCTCCAGTCTGGTTCGCTTGCAATAAAGTAAGCACACACTGCATCCCTGCACACAGTTCTTCCAAGTGGCATGCTTCCACATCCCAGCCTTGTTCATCCAATAGCTACTGCAGGATCCCTGACGTGTCCCAGGGTAGCTGCTTGGACAAGGTTTCTTAGATTTAGGTATGCATGCTTATATTTGTAGGACTGGACTTTGCTATCCATTCCTCCCCACAGAAGCCCCTCCAGCCCATTGAATATGTTGCCCAGGCAGTTGGGGGCCTGCTGAATGAGCAGAACTGTGGTGTCCTTTTGCGGGGAAGGGGGAAAGTTCCTTGAAAATCGGGTAAAAGCACCTTCTGGGACCATGGGCCTTCAGTCAATGGAAGGCACATCTTGGAGCCAAGCCTCTGCAGAGTTTCTCGGAAGAAGGCGATGCTCACTGACAAAAATAAGATTTTCTAGGTCAAAATGCCAAGTAAGCCTCTGCTGAGGAATTTAATTAAGAAAATGTGTCCATGCTGTGCAGCCAATGCTTCCAAGGATTGCTATGCCATGCATGCATCCCAACATGATTAATTTGAACTGATTTGGCAGGGACACACTATAACCAAAATAGTTCATAATTAAGTTCACAGCAAGGGACAATGTACCTTCCAAGGAGAACAAAAAGTACATATTCCAAAAGCACCACATTTTGCCATTAGATACTTTGACAGTTTTTTTTACCAGTTTCCAAGAGTGGTCTCTGAGCATTCCATGTAAAACAGCAGCCTCTCAAGAAAACAGACACATAGGCAAATACCCCAGGAAGTTGGAGGTAGATAATGATGAAGATGAACAGAAGTAGTTTTGCCCTCCAAAGTGTGGGGAAACCCAAAGACCCAAATGGAAGTTTGGAAAACTAGAGAAGAAGTAAATGGAAGTGTACACATGGAATGCATACACTCATGCATCATGGTGGTGGATTAATTCATTCATTATTAGATATATCCTGCTTTTTCTTTTTTAAAGAATTCAAAAGCATCATTCTTCTCATCCTGCTCTCCATCTTATCCCCACGACAACAACCCTGAAGGGAGACTGGGCTGAAAGTCTGTGACTGGCCCAAAGCCACCTGGTTGGCTCCACGGTCAAGCAGGGACTAGAACCCAGATTGCTTGAGGTCCAGACCAGTGCTCTTAACCACTACACCACACTGGCTAGCACATGGCACCAGTACTGCCCCTGTACCCCACTCCTGTTTACACTAAGCTATGTGGCACTAGCCCAACAAATCAGGAGTTATAATTTTTCCCAGCTGCAGTTGCCTTTCCTACATCAGTTACTGCCACAGTTAACAAAATCTCTCCACAGCTTGGTGGCTCAGCACCAGCTGGCAGGGCAGTGAAACACAGTCAGCCACAGGCACCGGAATTATTCTCTGAAAACTTGTGGGACTCCTCAAACGTGCAAGAAAAACTAAATATATCAATGTGCATGTTTATTTTTAAATGGAAATTAAATCTCTTTCTGATGAGGGCTGAATAGACACAGAGTCCTAAGCCAGCAGACAATATCGGAAATCATTAAAGGATTCCAGCTTCCTCCTCCTGTGACAGCTATCACAGGTCCTCGTAAGAACCATCTTGTCAGGAAGGGAGAGGAGAAAAGACAGCCCGTCAGATAACCTGACTGAGAACAGCGTGAAAAGAGCAGGTGGGAATGGATCCTTAAGCCGCCAATTAGCCTGTGTCAAGTATGAAAGGCAGCTAGTGCAAACAGCACTTTGAAATGCCAGTGGTTTTACTGCACATCGGCTGGAGTGCATTTAAGAAGTGGAGAGAGTCATAAATTCAGTAAAGAGGAAAAGGAAAACAGGCAGGCAGAGAAGTGGGGAAGGAGCTTCCCTTTGATTGGACTCTCCAGGCAGAGATGGGTGCTGCTCAGGGGGTCCCTGACCCTTCCCGTCCTTTTAGTGCTGCACCTCTCAGCTTGAGGGCTGCTGTACAACCTGGGGAGATGAGTTTTCAGCCTCCAGACTGGGCACTGCTTCCATCATTCCCCCTACTTTGCTTCTACCCTGCCCCCAACTTGCACACCCTCATTTCTAAGGACTTTTCAAAATTCTCATTAAGCTGAGCAAACGTCCATTTCTCACTCAGGTATTTCAGAAACAAATCCTTGGCTTATTTGTCTTAACACTTTTCTAGCCTTACCTTTGCTCAAAATGCTCAGTGGAGCAAAACTGGGGATGGGGCTCTCGGGGCCAAGTTGCTTTGCGTTATCCACAGCATCCAGAATGTGGGGCAAGAGAGCATCGCTGAAGATCAAAGAGTGGTAAGATGGCCTCTCCGTGCTCTCTCTTTCAAAACCGCCCTGTTGCTCGTGAAGCAGGCAAAATTCTGTCAATGAGAATGGGTTTGATTAAGTTCTTTGGAAGACTCTGAAACCAAGAATACCAATGACACTTGATGGTATGCTAACTCCAAAACCAAAGCTGCCTCTCAGTGCATACTTGAACTTTTAAAGAAAGGGAGGGAGGGAGGGAGGGAGGGAGGGAGAGAAATGATTTGCTAGTTTGCACAAATTGTTGCCCAATATATATTTATTGCGTATAAGCGATGCTGTTGCCCAGAGGAAGGCTATAGATTGTAGACAGAAATATATCTTTTCAGCTTACAGCTTTTCCAAAGATGCTAATAAGCATTAGGTCTAAATATCATTTAATTTTGTCATGAGACAATGTTCTCTGTCATGGTGTGGTAAATACCCAATCTCACCATAAGACCTACAGCTGTGAGACCCCAGCTATACCAATCCCATACCCTTAATCCCAAACTGCAGTTCAAGGCTATCTGCTGCCACCAAGGAAATCACAGCTAGCACCTGTTCAGGATTCAGGAGATCCTAAATATTGTGATGCTCAGATAATACCATGAAATGCTATTATCTACTTTATGTCCTTTATTGTTTTATCAACTGTATTGTATGCTGTTTCCAGTATTTGTAAGCTGCCCAGAGAACCTTTGGGTTATGAAACAGCATAGAAATGGAATGAAATAAATAGAAATGTCCTACAGGATGAATTACATGACCACACACCTTCCAGTTGTTGCTGCTGCTTCTATTTTTACATTTATATTACTCTTGCAAGAAACCCGACACTCTCTTCTTCTCTATTTGATCTTTGCAACAGCAATTAGGTGAGATAGGGTAGACAGAGAGCGTGTGGCTTGCCTAAAGTCACCCAGTGAGCTTCGTGGCTGAGTGGCGACTAGAACCCAGGTCTCCAGAGGCCCAGTCCAACATTCTAACCACCATGCCACATTGGCACTCAAGGTGAGACTGCCTCTGCATAATAACCTCTGCCTGCCCACCAAAATTAGTGTTTGTTTCACTAGTACAAAGCATCAAGCTACTTTAATCTGGATCTGACTCCACTACCAACCCTTGTGTATAGCAGGCAGCATGTAGAAACTATCTTGGAAATGACTTTCTGCCTAGGGGTTTTTTCCCCCTGACTTTCAAAGAACTATGCAGTCTTGAAGAGGCAGACACTAAATGATCCATCATGTCAGTGAAGGATGACATCTTGGGGAATTACAGAGGCATTTTAAAAAGGATGGAAGGATTGTTGAGCATCATCATTAATTCAGTTTGTGCTTTACAAGCTTTTAGAAATCACTAGCAGAACTTGGGCTGCACTCTCACATTGCAGAAGGATAATGATCACATAGGAGTGAATGGGGCAGTGGGCCAAACTGTCCAACCCCTTGCCCAACACACGCCCTGATGGGGCTTTTCTTGTACCACTGTCCTGCCTGATTCAAGGAATTTTACAAGGTGGGCAAATACCATCTTCCACTTGTGTTTTCCCACATCTTCCTTTTTTCATTCCACCAAATGGATAAACAAACAAAAATAAAGGAAGAAAGAATAACCACAAGATGTCTTTTGTACTTAGAGACCTCCATTTGGAAGTCTCTCTCCAACAAAGTCAAGACAACTCTAGCAGATAGTTGTCTGGCCTCTGTCTGAAGTCCTACAAGTGCAGGAGAGTCCACCACTCCTTCCAGGAATGGGTTCCAGGAAAAATGGTTAGGAAACATGTGAATGTTTAAGGATGGAGCTCTTCATACCTCCCCCAAGGCTCAAACTACCAGGCAAAAGATTTCAGCTTCAACAGCATCAGTGCATTCAGTTCATGAGTAGAGAAGGAAGAACTGAGGACAATAGATTATTTAAGGCTAAATCTGTGAAGGAAAAAATGTGAATGATCCAGTGCGCTGTTCACAACTCGTGTTCAGAATTTAAATATAACTGTTCCACATTTGTACCTGTTCTCCCTGAATCGAGGGCATCTATAAAAGGGAAAGAGAAGGGGAAGCACAAACAGCAACAGGAAAGAAGTGAAAAAGGCTGCAAACTCACACATACTTCTCTGTGCTAGAGCATGCAAATGAAGAAAGTAATTGTTTATGAAGCTGTTGGCATTTTAAAGCTCTTCAGAGACCAGGGCAAGCTACACAGCAAGAAAAAAAGAGTTATACCAATTAAAGCTTTCTGCCTCAAGAGCTTCTCATGTCTCAGTCTTAGAGCTAATAAGAGCTGTATGTGAAAGAAAAAATATTGGTGACACTAATAAATTCACTTTGGTTCCCAGGGCAATCTGATACAGTGTTCAAAGTTAGTAAGTCTGGCTGCATTCCCCTCTGAACTCCTGTGTCAGTCTAGGCAGGAGCAGAATAAGCTAGAGCCAGAGATGGAATGCTGGTTTATCAACATGATTGCTTCATTTGGACCTGAGACTTTCTTCTAGGAGGATGCTGCACCTCTCCCCCGACAAACACCTCTAGAAGGTCAGTGGAGGTTACCTGCAGCACGTGCATCAGCGCATGGGCATGTGAATGACATCAGCAGCCAACCGAGCACTCCCCTGATCTCCCTACATCCATCTGGATGTTTAGGATTCCCAGGTTCTGGCTGGCAAAAAGGCACTGTGAATATCTTGCTCTTAAGTCAATCGTTCATAGGGTCTGTGCTTTTCAAAGGGTTATAGAGCATTCCGGGAGCTAGATATCCTGCACTTTCAACAGAGAAAGGGAGGCATAACTAGAAAACACACAGGAAATGGATTAAGTAAAGCACATGCCAAGTAAAAGGATGTCTCCATCCTGATAGCAAAACATGAGTTACCAAGAAATTCAAAGGTTACTGTGAGTGCATATGAGAAGACAAGCAAAAGTGAACATCAGGGTCAGTTTCCATATGCATTCTGACCATTGAGGGGATGTTTCCCCAGTTAGACTAAAACAGGCAAGCTACTTTAACATTGGAAACAATGAATTCATAGCTATTTCAAGGAGATGATACATCATCCTACAGAAGCATTCATTTAGAACTTAGATTTGATTTGGATTTTGTAATTCAGTAAGAAGGTAAAACAAGTCAGTAGCAAGACATCTAGATAAAGTATAATAAATGCAGTCCCTTGTGCCTTGATGTCATAGGACATGAGCGCACAAAACAGTTGTTTTGGACACAAGTTCTTTGGCACTGGGCAAAGAGACAGGTGCTAGAGTTTAGGAAGGCCTTCTGCTACGGCAGGTTCTCTCTGAATAGGAGACACAGCCTGGGTTCCAATGTACGCATGTCTACACTGCCTTTATGTTTATTTCCTTAGCTGCAGTGGGAAGGGATGCCACCTAAATAGTAGTGGAAATATGGCTTGCTTAGTGACACACTCCATCTGCTAACCATTTGCAAGAGACAGGGTTATAAACTATAGGTCCTGATAGATGTCTAGACCAGGAAGGGGCAAAGCAAGCTAGCACACATTCACCTTTCCTAAGACTTGAGAGGTAACATTACTAGATATTAGGCAAGGAAGGGCAGAATAAGCAAAGGAAGACTGCTTCTGATGGAAGGTTACTAGATAATAAGTCCTAGGTTGGACTTATTATCTAGTAAAAGTAAAAAATTAATATCCAACTGCAAGAAGCCATAAAATGGAAAAACTTGGCAATTACCATGAATACACAGGACATGCACTTTTCATTTGCAATTTTAGAGTTACACATATGGACAAACTTTGAATACTGTTTACTATATCCATGTTTTTAAAAATTGATGTGTAGGAATGTAATATATCAGCATTGCCCAACACGGTGCCCTCTAGAGGTGTTGAGCGACAACTCTCACCATTCCCAATCAAACAACACTGCAGTCCAACTCATCTGGTATGATGATTTGGCAATTCCAGGCAATAGTGTCTGCTTTCCATCCTCAGACCAGCCCAGTAAAACTCCCACAGGGCTTCATCAAACAAGCCAAAACTTCACTTCCATGTATGCTATGATCATTACTTGGGGTCCAATCAAATGCTTGATGGGTTTGCATTTAAATGGCACCTCACCCGTACCTTCCATCTGCTACTCTTGGCTTTGACTTAATTTGCACTTTGATTACTTATCCTCAACATCAAGTGTTTCCTTCAAATGAGTCCAGGAAAATTAATGTGATCCTGTGGTGTTGCTGAGGGAAATGTGCACATATAAAAAGATTTACAAACCACGGGAAAAGCTATGACAAGCTTGATTTATGTTTGGCAACCAAAGGCCAGTGTAGCCTTCATACCCTTCAAAAAATAATTCCCATATGCAAGAGCTTTGAGTGCAATCCAGAAACATGGCAAGTGACCAGCACTGCGTTGTTATGATGAAACACCCCTTTCTCCTGCTCACAATCCTCTTCTCTTCTGGCTTGATAGATCAATTGAGGTAACCTTCAGAGAATATTGTACACTCCACATTTCTACTGTAGAGTCCACTTGTAAAGTTTCCTTTCAAATGATCCTTTCACTGAATTCCCAAACTTGTCTGAAGTGCTCTGGAGCTTTTTGTTTTTGTATGCTTGTTTTTTGGTGAAAGTTGTACAGAGCTAAATCAACTTTCATGGGGAGCAAATATTGTGGAGGAATGTTTCATTTTTCCAGCTTTTGTGCTCAATGTCTGAACTGCTAAAAATACGTTACACAACTTGCAGGGTGTTAACAAATTACTTTAGGGAGCAATCCTCTGGTTGTTTATCCTGAAAGTTTCCTGCAGCTCTCAACTGGCTTGTTACTGCTAGGATAGGAGCACGTCCTTACTGGTTCAGCAGGAGAACTATTACAATGACAACTCAGAGAAACTACAGTGTGAAAGCAGATGGTGCACGAGCAAGAATGGATTGCAGCTACTGAATGAAGAAGTAAAGAACAAGACTGACTCTGACAGATGGATCTGCTGGGGAGTGTGACACTTGAGCTGCTAATACGTTTGCTCATTTACAATGACACAGAAATGGTTCTAGAAAATGCAAGCAATGTGTGTACAACACATGCACAGAGGTGACATAATCACCTCTAAATGCAAAAGCACATTTTTACATTCAGCTAAAGAAAGCCTCAAGCAGTTCTGCACACCTGCCAAAGCCTTTATTTACCATTCCCCCCACTAAATTTATCTAAACATCATCAGTGGAGAACTGGATTGAATACTAGTAAAGAGGCATTGCTCATTGGGTAGCTGTGTTTTGTTATGCAACACAGGGGGAAAGAGGGCACATTACTTACCAAATTGTCCATCACGCTTTATATATAGTTCTATTACACCATAAGCAATGGCTGTGGGAGCAGGGATCTCTAAGACCACATTTGAATCCTTCATCACATTCCCATCTTCGCTCACAGATACCTAAGGGAGAGATTCACCTTCTCTTTAGTTTATGCTGGGTTAATCCAGTGTTGCAACCTTGCACATGAAATGGATGTCCGTCCGTGAAGGATATTAGGAGGGCAAGTACTCGGAGGAGGGCTTTCTCTGCGGTGGCACCCAATCTATGAAATGCACTCCCCAGAGAGGTCTGCCTGGTGCTGTCGTTATTTGTTTTTCGGCGCCAGGTGAAGACCTTTTTATTTAAACGTCATTTTAATTGTTAATATTATTTATTTATTTTATATCTCTGGCCAGGTCATCTCAAATTATATTGTTTTTATATTATGATTATTTATTTATTGTTGTGAGCCGCCCCGAGGCTTCGGTGAATGGGGCGGCATAGAAGCTTCCTAAATAAATAAATGTCAAGGTATAAAACATAATTAATTCTTGGGAGGGATACTTCTGCTAGTCTGATGCAGCAAAACACACACACACACACAACCACCACCACCACCAGAGCATGGTACCTTAAAAGACTAATATCTGGCACATCTGGAAAATGGACAGTGTTCAGAAACTTATGCTAGAATAAGTCACTAACGTGCCACAAAAAATCCTCTTTACTATATTTAATTTTGCAGTGCTAAATAGCAACAACTTTACATTATTTTTAAACCCACTAGTTTAAGTTGATGATACAGGAACAAAAAGCCATCCAGTACTCGGGACTAGAGAACTCAGTGAAGTTTTTCATATTCTATTTCCCTAGTCTAAGACTTCAAAGGCACACAGGAAAGCAGTTGCAAAGCGACATCTCTGGAATGCGTGTCCAGTGCTTCAGACCAAAGAAAGCAAAGCACTTACCTCAAATAACAATTTATTTCCACATGGTTGGCTAAAACCTACAGCTTAGGCCCTACCGCGAGAATGGCAGGGAAGATTAAAAGGCATAACAGGTAGTGCAGTGAACTTGCCCTGTCAGGATAGTTTCTTGGAACCATACCAAGTGTTAATGGCCTTCAGCTTGTCAGGAGGAGCACCAGAGATAATCGCCTTAGGGCTGCCTTCTCCAATCACTCTTTAGATAAGGGCTGCTTTTGCTGTGAGAATGGAAGTGCCATAGTGAGGCAACTGCACCTCCAACTCCTGTTGTCACTCAGGAATGGGGATTAGAGCCTGTGTGTACTGACAGCCCCTGAAATGGGGGCTGGGGGGGAGGCACACTTTATAACATATATGGCAAAAGGCTTTTTTTTTTGCTCTCAGTTTAGGGAAATTGACATGTTGCTTGCCCAAGCAACCTTGAAGCCCCAAGGAGTGTCCCCTGCCCTACTCAGAGAACTAATATAGCCACAAAGAAGAGGAATCTTCACTTTATGTGCTGCATCCATATTTCATCACTGCATTCAATAAACAGTGCATCATCCCCGGCACCAATAGTTTTGGTTCACCCTGAGCATCTTCAAATCGGAAGTGAGGTGCCTTAGCTGGACCAGTCCTGTTGGAATTACTACAAGTGGCTTTTACTAAAGACGCAAAGAAATGTGTGGGGGACAAGTCCTTAAGAGCTACAAATGGAACTCTGGTCTACAAAGAGATGCACGCTTTGAATTACTGGTCATGAGAGACACAGCAGGGCATGGCTGCTGTCATAACCTGCTGCCAGGAAGCATCTCCATTCAAAGAAGCCACTGTGTGAAACAGCCCACTGAGTCCAGCCCACTGAGTTTCAGCAATGAAGTAACGCGCTATCGTGTCTGATGGGCACAAGCAGACACTCGCTGCTGCGTCACTTGAACTACTAGTGAGGGTCCATTTAAGCCACAGCAGTTTGTTTAAATTGTAGTACACACTGGATCCGTGGGGCGGGGGTGCATAATTTCCTTAATCACAGCTGAGGTACAATTTGTCTTGTTGTCTGAACAGAATGAACAAGGCAGAATGGCTTGTTGGAGTGGGAAACAGCCTTCTATTCAAGATGGGTGGTTCTAGGGTTATTGGAAGGTTTTTCCCACTCCAACAAACCATGCTGCCTGGCCTTGGAGAACACAACAAGCTGCACATGGGTAGTGATAACCAAGATTGCACCTCTGATAAACACCACAATTTAAATAGCCCACTATGGCTTAAATAATATAAATAAGCCACAGTGGCTTATTTTGATTGTGTGAACCAAGTCAATGGCCCTTTAGCCATACCCAGCAGTGTTCTTACATCTACAGCTTGATGAATGTGGCTAAGGGCCTTTAAACAGATTTGAGCAGCAAGAGGCTTCCCGCTTGGATCTGAAAAAGTTCACATTACAAAGATGCTGCAATTTTTCTGCTCTTGAGAATACAATAGGAAATGTAACATTACAAATTTTACGGAGTGTGCATGTGCAGAGAGTAGTCTTAATGCTCTAGCACATGGCCAACGTCAGTGGTCAGCATCAACAAATATCTTCTGAGAATCTTGACCCTGCAGGGGTCTTGTGGTTGACCTCCAGAGTCCTCCTGGTCCTGCTGATCTTCTGCACTACCCATTTCCATTCCCTCTCCAAATATGGAAGCAGTGACACAAAAGAAGAGATAAAGCAGAATCTTTGATTTTTTTTTTAATTCCTCTGGGTATCGACATGGATTGGGCCTAAAGCAGCCTTCCCCAACTTGGTGCCCTCCAGATCTTTTGGACTGAAACACCACACATGCCTGACAGTTGGCCATACTAGCTATGTCTGAAAGATGTTGAGGTCCAAAATGACGCCAGGTTGGAAAAAGTTGGCCTAGAAGGAGAAAACAAGCAGTGATGGGACTGAGGGGGAAGCAGACCCCAAAACCCACCAACAGGGAATCAGTATGGCATGTTGCTTTGGACCTCGGGAGATCCAGGTTCCAGACCTGCTTAGCCATGCAGCTCACTGCACGGGAAAATGCCAAGACAATACAGGGTTTCTCCTGCATGCAAACTGCTGAAATTAAACAAAGTTGCAGGCTGTCGAGGTTCTATATTCTTGCTCTGCATTCACTCATTTAAGGAAGTTTGCATAGGAAGACAGCCCAGAAAACTGTTCCCCTGCATGCAGTGTGGCTCAACAAAAATCGCTGCATGCTTGCAAATCAGCACTGGGAACGCTAGAGGAGTTACATTAACAAGCACTGCTGATCAGTGGAAGATGTCGTGTTCTCCTTGGGAAGCTGCACATCCATCAGAAACAACATTCTTTCCTTGAATGTTCTTACCTTTATAATCTTGGTATGGATTCCCACCATGCCTGCTATTCTCTCATCAGTCTGAATGTGTTCAGATATTAAACACTTCTGAGTTGTGACTATTCTTGCAGTCAGGATACAAAGAGCTTCATGCTTTCTTTCCAGCATTTGTTGCAGCAACACATTTTGTAGATTTATTGTCCTGAAGGAGGATGAAACACATTAAACTTGCTATTTTGAAAAATCTTTTACCAATGACACACCAAACACTGTTTCATATGAAGGTCTATACATCTAAACTATAGATTCCTGAGGGGCAAATTCCAAGATTTGTACATCAGCAAAAGCCAAGCAGAATAAGATATCAGACCAAACTTCCACAACTTGGTACCCTCCTTTAGATGTGGTGACGTACAACTCCTCCAATCTCTAGCCAGCATGCCTGGCAGTCCAACACACCTGGGAAGGACATGGCTGGGGAAGACCATGCCAGACCTTTGCCTTGGGATAGTCACATCATCTTAGAAAACATGACTTCATGGCATGCTGAGCAGAGAGTTCCTTGTTAGCAACAGCTGTTTCACAGGCATCAGAGCCATACCTCAATACAGATGGCAATCAGAGCTTTGCAGGAAAGATGGGAGCAGCAAAGCAGAGTCGTGGGGGAGATGGCCGAGATTCCGCCTGTCCTTCCTGCAGCGGTATGCCTCTGATCCCACACGCCTTCCCTGCACGAACGGAACTGCGATCACGGCCATCTCCCCACCCCCAGTGCATCGTTTGCACCCATCTCTCCTTCTCCCAGTGAGCCCGGGATCACGCCCTTCTCTCCCGCCACCCCCAGCGCACCGGGATGACAGGCGTGTGCCAGGATGACGGGCACCTACAGGGATGACAGGCACATGCAAGGATGACAGGCACATGCAAGGATGACAGGCACGATTGCGGTTGTGCTGGGGGGGGCGGGGAGATGGCAGCGCTTGTGCTCAGGGTGGGTGGGGGAGAGATGGCCGCAATCTTTGTTGTTGTCACTTTGCTTCACATTTTTCTGATTTAAAAAATGGTTACAGAACGGATTAACCTTATTTACACTGAACCTTATGGGGAAATTTAACTTGGCTCACGACAAATTTGGGTCACGACCAGAGTCCTGGAGTGGATTAAGTTCGTGAGCCAAGGTACCACTGTAATTAAAGCAGTATATAGAGAATACAACAGGTATCCACAAGCACTGCTGTTCTCACTTTTTAAAGATACATGCATGGCTGTATCTGTCCTCTTAAGAGACTAAGTATCAATATATGGTATGTGTATTCTATTTATTTGTTTATAGAAGCATTCTGGTCCCTCCTTCTAAGCCAAGAAGGCCGCTGGAGTGGCTTATGTGCAACAGCCCCTGCCGACAGGTTCAGCATCATCCTTACACTGCATTTATATCCCACCTTTTTTCCTGCTGTGAGCAATGCAACGCGGCTGGCATAGCTCCATTTTATCCTCACAACAACCCTGTGAGGTAGGTTAGTCTGAGAATGAGTGACTGTTGCAAAGTCACCCAGTGAGCTTAATGGCCAAGTGGGGTCTGGAATCTGAATCTCCCAGGTTCCTCTAACCACCACACTACAATGCTTCTCTTTTACAATCTGAAAAGAAAGTCTCTTACAATCCAAAACTGCACAACATAGGAAGAAAAAGAGGAGGAGAGGGGGAAAATGAGCTGCCTTTCAAAAGTGGTGCAGGAATGGTCTCACCCTGTCTCTCTGTACAGCCAGCTTGCTGGAATGGCTGCTGCAGATGACCGTTGCGGCTAAGAGGGCTGGGCGAGCATCATACCATGCAATTAATCCACACCAAAACTCCCCTGATCCATTGCGTAGGGAGGGGGAGGTGCTGGATCAGGAGCTTTCACAAGAAGTGGGAGCAGAAGGATGCTGACGTTGCTGTCTACATCCCGCTAGACTAGCGTTCACATTAACAACATTGCTGACAGGTGTGCATCCCAAATCTCAAAGTTTGGCTTCCTCCCAGGGCACTGGAGCACCCGTTCCTGCTATCCAAATGCTGCAGCACTTTAATGCCAAGTTTGATTCCTCAGAAAGGAGCTAGCCAGACCAGAGCACGAATCTAATCCCTTGTCACATTCCACCAAACAGAGGCCTGTGTTACTTCACCTATTCATCCTATTCAAAATACAGCTTCCCAGTGGATTAATTTCTGATATGCTCCCTCCATGCATTCACATGAATCTCACAACACTAATACTTCACCCTGATGTAATTATCATGTCTACTCTTGATTCCAATGCATGCATGATTCATCTTTCCCACTTATCTCAATATACTTCCCACCCCCAGTCAACCTGTAAGCCCGAGAGAGTTAGGAACAAGTGCCAACTGTGAAGATTCAGTCGACCAACAGCCAGTTTCTTTTTTCAAATCGCAGAGCTAACAGATTTGCTTGGAAGGCTGAGGCAAGCATCAACTTGATGATTGCCTCTATCTTAGCACCACCAAGTTGTGAAAGGGGTGGTGCTGAAAAGACTGGGCTGGATCCATTGAGCTTTCTTGCCCCTTCTTCCACCCAGTAACCCCCCCCCCCCCGATCTGTGAAAAGCCATAGAAGCTTGGGTCAGATAATAGTCAAGGGTTGGGTATGAGTTCAGTTTGGGGTGCAAGTGTACTGTGAGTTGTTGAAATGTGTAGTTTGAACTCAGCAGTGTTAACCACAAACAATCCATAGTTCACCCATGGGCTCTCTTCATGGGTTGCTCGTGGTTAACAAATTATGGTCTGTTAACATGGCTGGGGTCAGGCAACCCAATAATCCACAATTCAACAACAAGTCACGGTTCAATGACCACACACATTCAACGCTTGAATATGAGCTATCATGTTGATTGAGCCCAGACAATATCACTAACACCAAAAACACACAACACAGTGAATTCCCTCATTCTGAATAGATTAGCATTCTCGCATCCTTTTTAATTATGCCATTATTTTAAAAAGGCCCAAGAGGAATATCAACTCTAAAGCTGAACACCTACCTTCCCTCGACATCTTTCATAAGCTTCTGCAAGTCAATTTCTTGCTTTTTTAGATTTCCAAAAGAAGACTGGCTTTCCACAATGCCTCTTCCACTGGCTCCTAAATTAACCTTCCCGAATGAAGTTTCGATGCTTCCTTTGACATAGTCTTCAAACTTTCCCTCATACTTCACAAAATCAGATTCCACCACAACTTGAAAAATCAAGAAAAATCCAAGGAATAGCTTAGATGTTGGAATATCATATTCAAAGCATAATTGGCACTGTTAAAAATCTCAAATAAGAGAGGAACAGCCCAATAAATTCAGACGGATGCATGTACAGATCTGCAACAGCCTGTTTATGTTGCTCCTTCCTGTCTCTGTCAACTCTAAAATTTTAGTGAACAGATGACCACAAACATGGGAAAGGTTGTGCACAGCGCAAGGGTATATATTATTTTAGTCATAATGGCAGGTTCTTGTATGTGCAGTTACCTGAGCTGCAGCAATGGGAATACACAGAACAGACATCCGCACACAAAAGAAAGCAAAGTGTTGCCATGTTTTGGTTGCCGTGTAAGCCAGTCGATCAAAGCTCTGGAGAGAATTACTATCTAGAGGGGACAGTGCATCACTCAGCCTCTGGTATTCTGAAGGACAGGTGGATGTAACTACTCGGCAACAGTCCAACACTGCTGCGCATGGAAATGCACCCATTTTGCAGCCTACCTTTTCTTCTTTGAGGCTGCTATTCAGTTTGCCTAGAAGTAAGATGAGTCATGCCTGAAACTTATTAAAGAATCAAGTACAGGTCCAAGACGGGATTAGTACAGCACCAAAATTTATATTAGAGTAGCACTGCATGCATGCTGAATGCACAAGATGTGGCGCTTGGTTCATTTTCCTGGAGTGGGGAAAAGAGAAGAGGGCTTATCCACATGAAAGCTCTTTTCCTCTTGGTCTCAAAGGCTATGGCAGGAAACCAGAGACTTTTCTTAAGCCAGCCCTTCACATATGCTAGAGAAAGGCTATGACTCCAACTTTTAGAAGAGTGCTCCTAGAAAGCCCCCATATTGTAGAGTGGAGCCCCCCAGCATGAGGCCTGCAGATGTCAGACCCCACAAAGACCTCCATGGCTACCTAAGAAACTGGCCAGTCCCTGCTTCCTTAAAAATATGAACATTAAAACCTTGGAAAAAGTTAGGGCAGTCTTCTCTCTCTCCTTTTCTAGCCTCCCTATTTCTCAGAGTTCTCGTTCACTGTTTCATGTCCTGCTCTTTCTCTGGCCCTTTGCCTTCCCATTCCCCCTCTATCCCAGCAACTAGCTTTGTCATTTCTTCAGACTGGTCCACTTCTTCAGATTGCTTTTCCTCTTTTCTCTATCTACTTGCTCTTCCCTCCCAGCCCTTCTTGGTTATTTCTCCCCCTCTCCGCACCACACACACGCACACACACTTTCAGCTCACTTTTGTCTAGTGAGAGCTCCATAGCATCCATTATGCTCCACTAGTTACATCCCCAGTGAGAGCCATTTTATGAAGGTACCCATAACAGATCTGCTCATGGGTTCAACAAGGCCGTGGAATCCTAGCATAGTGGGTACATGGCCTTTTGCGTTCTAGCTTACGGCATGTTTCCTCCCCAGCCCCCAAGGGGAGCATTCATCTGCTTAGAAAAACAGAGTCATGGGACACCTTAAGGATGAACAAATAATGGGCAGAATCAACTTTGTTGCCATTCTAACTCATCAAGAAATGTGATTCTGTCCTTTGTTTGTTCGTCCCGAAGGAGCTATAGAACTCTTGTTTTATCTATGTTGGTTGACAGAACCTAATCTGTTTGGGCCTATGTAAAGATAACAGTACCCTGTATCCCACTTCAGGTTTAATTAACTTAACAATGCTAGTATGATTATATTATCACTGATTAGCGCTGCTGTGAATGGTCAAAGCGCTTATTTTGCAAACATTTACACATTAAATTCTCATAGAATGTACCTTTTGCAGCTCATGGCCACTCAAGTGTACTTTTAATTATTATTTTTTAGATATGTTACATAGATGTGCATGTGCATAAATGTACACACAGCATAGGTGAGAAATTTGTTGGATTCCCATTTTAATGCAAACATAACAAATGTCTATGAACCAGAAGACAAGGTGCTATCAAACTTTCTAACATTTGCTGTGCAATTTGCAAAAAATTAAAAATGTGTGCACAAAATCCACACATGAAAATGCACACACAAAATGTGTACATTTGAAAAAACTGCCCTGAAGTGCTTTCTCCATATGAAAATTGCTTAAAAGTACATATATTTACAGAGGTATATACGACATTAAGTGTGTTTTTCAAAAATGATCACAAAAATCCATACACATTGTTATGTGGATGAAATAAAGTCAAAAGCACAACAAGACAGAATTAACTTAAAAGCAAAAAGAGAATCCCAGTGAAATTGAACTGGACAGATTTGCTGGCACCTTGTGTACATGCATGCACATCAGCCACTCAAGGATGACGCTTCCCGTGATAGATGAAGTGAACTCTGGCCCACTACAGCCAGAATAAGGGAGAAATCCTATGCAAGCATAGACAGAAGTTGAGAACTGTAGGCCTTTTTTCTATCTAAAGTGGCATAGAATGGTTGCCCACTCTTTAAAAATGCCACAAGACTCTTTCTTGTTTTTTCTACAACATATTAACAAGGTTGTCCTACAGTTATCACTTTTTTAAAAAACAAAAAATCCTGACAACTACTCCAAGTAAGTACTTCAGAAAATCAAATTATAAAATAGTATCATTTAAGTCAGAGGCAACATGTAGGATCACCAACATTCCTTGCACTGCTTGCTTTGGAGAAACCATTTCATTGTTTAAATGAGTGCCTTACACACACATTTTAAAAGGACAACAAGGGCAAGATGAGACAATAAATACATTAATAGGGCTACTTCTGAGAAGTGCTGAGTCTTCAAAGGGGTTTTTTTTTTTTTGAGGGGAGGGGGCTTAAACAAAGTAGACAAATCTGCAAGTGGTCTGATTGGAAATACTTGTTTTTAATTATTACACTTTGCACTTTGTCTTATCTCATGCAGCACAGTGTAGCTGTAATTATACCTGGTTTTATGGGTTCATCTTTTGCAAGCACATCATTCAGCGAGAGTGACAAGAGATGGTACTTTGGCTTCTGCCAGCACCAGGTCTTCTTCCTCTTCGTCACTAAGCCCAGGAACTGCAATTTATCCAGGTTACTCAGGCAAGGTGCAGGGATCAAGTCTCCTCCACAGTCAACCTCTCTTACAAAGTTCTTTGCTGCTTTTGCAAACATCCTGGGAGGGATTTTTAAAACAACACCTGCAGAAACAAAGACAAGATGTAACAAATATAAAGTGAACAAAATATATATTTACACTCTTATTTAGAATTAATTAAGATTAATTAGCCAGTGTGGCATAGTGGTTAAAAGAGGTTAAAAGTGAAAGGCTGGGACTCAGGAGATCTGGGTTCCAGTCCCCACTTAGCCATGAAGTTCACTGGATGATTTTTGGCCAGACACCAACTTTCAACCCAGCCTACTTTCATGGGATACTTGTCATGGGAAAAAGATTGAGAGCAGGAGGAAGAGAAGCTGCTTTGAGTTTCTTAAAAAGAAAAAGGTGGAGTATAAATCTAATAAATAGATAAATAATAAAAGGTAAAGGCAAAAGTTTCCCCACGACATTAAAGTCCAGTCATGCCTGAGTCTTAGGGGTGGTGCTCATCTCTGTTTCTTAGCTGAGGGAGCCAGCGTTTGTCTACAGACAGTTTCCATGGTCATGTGGCCAGCATGACTAAACACTGAAGTACATGAAATGCTGTTACCAAAGTGGTACCTTTTTATCTACTTGCATTTGCATGCTTTCAAACTGCAAGGTTGGCAGGAGCTGGGACAAAGCAAGGGAGCTCACTCCATCTGCGGATTCCAACTGTTGACCTTTCAATCAACCAGCCCAGCAGGTCAAACCACTGCGCCACCCGCTGTCTCAGATAAATAATACACAGAAGCAAATGCTGATTTCCCTCTACGCAGCACTCAACAAGGAGATGTGACCAAACCTAGATCCTGATCAAGTGTGCCTCCATGGTATCTAGGGATGTGAAGATCCAGCTTGAATAGTGCTCTCTTGTGCTCACCAGACTTCTTCCCCTTTCTGCGCAAAGTCTCCAAAGCTTGCAATCACATGTGTAGAAGCAGAACCCCGTTTGCAAAGCAGGTGTGTGGGCAGCAGAGGCACAGGCCAGGGCTGAGACGCACGGGAACGTGCTCCCTGCCAGGTGCCCATGGGAAGGTTCAGCAAGAATTGGAATTAGGGCAAAAGCAGGCTGGAATCTCGGGAACTGAGGAAATTTAACTGATGCCCATTCCTAAACTAGATTCCGCACACATTGCCAATCTTTGCAGACAAGTTGTCATAATCTTTCATATACACTCAGAACACAACAGCAATACTAAAACACAGCCTTCAAACCAGTCTTCTGCCTGGTTCATGTGGGTTGGACTGAAAATCCCATGATCACCAACAGTCTAAGGGATTCTGGGAATTGTAAGCCAATACAACAATACAACCAGGCTGGGAAAGTATATATTCAGAACTCCTTAGTATGCCAAAAAGAAAAAAAAAGAGCAAATATGCAAAGGACAAAAGGAGTAACACACAAGGCCATGTGAAAACAATTTTGCAAAATTCCACAGGGAGAGAGACATCACCATCAATATCTGCAAAATATTTGTAAATATGGTTCTGAATGCTACAACTGAGATAATGTTACATTATTTTAAATTATTTAGAATTTTGTTGGGACATGTAACATTTTTCAGATATATAAACAAGAAATGTATACAAACAGGCAACTTGCAAGTGCCTAATATTTAAACATGTGTTAAATTATAACAAATTGGCAGAAAAGTTATGTATGAAACTCTGGGTCTGATTGATGAACCTGCAGTTTTGTACAAACTCTTTTTGAACTGAAGGTGTTACCAAATACTGAATTAACAGACACACAGCAACATGGTACTTATTGGCAGAACAGCGATCAAAATGAGCCATACTCCAACATGACGCAAGAATGAATTAGACTTACAGCGTCTGTTTTAAGAACAGAATGGAAAGTTAGTACAGTAAACAACAGTCAGATGTAACACTAATCAGATGAAGTAGTGAATCCCTTGGGAGACTAGCTTCAATAATGAGAATATTCAATATTCTACTATGAGAAGCCTGTAAAATATTGAAGAGCAGGAAAAGGCAAAAAAGAACTTCTTAATTTAGTCAGGCACCAGAACTAGATTTGTAATCTAACTACCACTCATTCTTTCTTATAGAAATAAGAGCTGACTCATCTATAAACTGTTTGAGATTTCCTCCTCAAAAAAGGGGAAGAATAAGGGTCAAATTATCAGGCCTGCCCTGCCCAAGTTGTCTGACTGCCACTGATTACAAAGAATTGCACCCAAGCATCCTGCATCCTACACTTTCCCCACATTCTCCCAAATCTGCTCCAGAGGATCCAACCAGAACAGATAAGAGGCACTTGCAAGGGGCAATGGCTGCATCCAAGTCACTGTTCCTTTTAAATCCTTTTACATTATCTTAAAAAAAATAAAGATAATGTTAAACAAACATTGTTAACAATGTTAAACATTGTTAACAAACGCAGCATACTGAACACTGACTGAACTCTCACCAGCCACCCTCTCAGGAGTAACCTCCTTTTCTACAGCTGCTTGAACCTTTCTTAGACCACAGACCTGGCAAGTCAACAGAGTGACTTTCCCTTGGAAATGGAAAAACTGTGGCTGGACTGGCTACTAAGAATTCCCCTAATCCACTTCAGGCTCTAGGGTTTGCCTCATCTGTGCACATCTCAAGGCTAAAGCTATTCCCCTCATTGACCCTGTTCTGTTTATAAATGTGTAGGATAAACACACGCATTTACATGAATATGACTACTGCCCCCCTCCCACATCTTTGACCTTGAGCCCTGTTGTCAGTCTGTGGTCTGTGCTTTGGCCCGCTGGCATTTAATTTTTTCCCCTCCTCTGAGTGTGTCCAGAAAGATTTGGAATGGAGTCTAATTAGTAGAGCTGGTAAAAGATTGAAAGACATCCTATTTAATCACATGAATTTTAACTGCACTCATCAATCATATTTATGATCACATTTTGTAATGCGTAGTTTCATGCATTAAGAATAAAGCATTTTTAGATGATACCTACATGTCTTATGCCAGCCATCCTCAAAGGACATGCTGCTTTCCCTTGTACAAGAGGAGGAGGAAAGAGATTCCAAAGGCAGCATCAGCCTGCGGGTTTGTAATGGAGTAGAAGGCCTGAGGCCCTCATATTTTCTGGAATATGACTGCCAGGAGATTTGATTAGCATGGCCAATGGTCAGAGATTAGGGGGGAGTTGTCCAAATTAACTGAAGGACGCCAGATTGCCTATCCTGGTTTGAAACTAGTTTATCATTTTCTAACCAAAGAAAAGGCAGCCTTTTCAAAGAATTACAGAAACAGTGATTGCCTTCAGAACAGTCAGCTTTGACCTTTCCACATGGACAGTTGGTCTTTTGTTGCTGTTTGTGCTGTACTGCTCAGATGGAATCCCTGAAGAGCAGGGTGGGACCTTCATTCGTGATTGCATTGCAACACCATCCTTGGATATGCAGGACAGGAGTGATAGGAGTTTCAGTCCAACAACATCCAAGGGGCCACAGGTGGCCCAGCCATGACTTTAGAAGAATGAGTGATGAAAGTCTCCCTCTGAAACAATAACCATGGCTAACTGTTCCTTTGAAGAGATATCAGAGTTATTTTTCTGTTTCCCAGAAAAATATTCCCTGCCCACTTTTCTGAGAGGGGGGAGTCTTCTTTTTAAGGATTTTGTAATCTAAAACAACTGGCTTTTAAACCAGCATTTCTACAGTATGAGAGCACAGATTCCAATCACCACTAGCCAAGAAAGATTAGGCATCAGTGGCATCCTGTTACTTTTGCAGACTAGTAACTTCTGTGCACTTAACTGAAAGACTGCAGCATACTGATTGCAAACTACAAACCAAAGCCCCTACCTGACGTAGGGCTTGGTCAGGTGAGATTTATTTAAATGTATGGCATCAGAGCCAAACATTTATAGAATGATGGTTAATTAAACTACAACAAACGAAAGCACAACAGGAGACAACTGCTCTGGATTTTATTGAAGTGTGAATACACTATTCTTTAGGAAAGTATGTGGAGCAGGCATGGAGGTATGAGGCAGGGATGTGTGAAGCACCACTTTTGAATGTAAAATCCTGTAGTGGCCCCTGTGCCTCATCTTGCACGCCAGCATAAAACACTTTGAAGGCCAAGACTTCTAGGGGTTTTGGAGGGGAAAAGGAGGTCCAAGGCAATTCTTACCTCCACATTCCTCCTACCCAGCCTTTGAATGCTTGTGATCTTCCAAGTTTGGGGGGTTACAAAAATCCTGATTGGATTGCACCCTTAATCATGTTTCAAACAAACTTTCAAAAGAGATATAAGTAAATAGCACCATCCTCATTCAAACAGAAAAATACCAGTGGATGCATGACCTTTCTAGAATAAGTCCTGTGTGCTCCAGGCTTTCTGAGGAAGCAGGAGTGGGGGAAGAGAAAAATCTGACATGTAGACTAGATACTGTAAGCATAGTACCTCTCGTGGAACTGAGGACACTTTTGCAACAGATGGTTGGCAGACTCCACTCCAATCATGTTTTGGGTGGAAAAGCAATTCCAAATACACCCCCGCCCAAATGTCTCATCAGGGTTGCCAAAGCAGCAGTGCCAACCATTCGCTTGGTGAAGTAAACGCCTGTGCACAGGAAGCAAAACGCAAGCTGCTGAATTGTAACGTCTCTGGATCAGAACTATACCCGGAAGGAAAATACAATGAAAGTTGTAAAACCTACCCAACTCTCAACAAGCATTTGGCTTTCTACTTCATCCTTCCAACATGTACTTAACAAACAAGCAAGCAGAAAATGAAAAAGAATAGTCAGATAATCTATTTTCATTTCAAAAAAGAATTGCTTCTCCTAAAATATTTACATACATAGGGTTGGATCCAAATCTAGGTATGTGCAACTAGGCTGGCAGAGATGGGCTTCTCCCCACAGCTGTCCTGCAGCACATGGAGAATGCCTCATCAGAAGATCCAGCTAAATGGGATCCTTCTGTGAGTGGTGCCCTTCCATCAACAGAATGTAGCTCCTGCAGGCAGGCAGGCAGGCAGGCATGTGCTGTTATTATAAAAAGGCAGTGCTGGCTGAATGGCAAAATCATTGGATTTGTAGAACTGGGGAGATCTGCAGACAAATCTCCGGTCAACCACAAAGCCAAGCCAATCACCAGCTCTCACCCTAGCCTACCTCAAAGCGTTTCTCTGAGGAAAAACTTCACAGAATGGGAGAGAGAAATCTTGCGCTTTGTGCTTCTTGAAAGAAAGAGAGGACAACTTTGTATAGAATGGCTATGTCACTGGTAGAGAGGGGATAGAAAGAGAAAGAGGAAGCAACCAGTTATGGAATAATATATGAAATACTGTAAGAAAGAAACCGGCTAAATAAAACAGGCTAAATATTTGATTGTTTAAAAGTTTAGGTTAAAACAGGATCATTTCTAAATAAAAAGCTTTTAGTTTAATTTAGATGGGTTGAACTTTGTTCTGATTCACCAGGGCATGTTCATATAACCTAATGATCTTGGGACAGGCATGGTGGTGGGTGAAGCTGATTTTCAGTATGCCTTACAAAGAAACGGGGGGGGGGGGGGGAGCACAGCCTCGTGAGTGTCTGTCTCTCCCTGTAATATACCCCAAATGGGAGGGCTGTAAGATACAACACTGGTCAGCCTTGACTATTCAATACTCTGGCTGGGGCTGATGGGAGGTGGAGTCTAAAACAAATGGAGGGGAACTAGGCTAAGGAACGCTGCCAGCATCTCACAACCCTTTGGCGTTTGACGTAGGAGCTCCAAGTCCCTACTCTGGGACCTGCCAGATGCTGGACTACAGTTTCCGGCATCCCCAGGCAGCCTGGCTAGGTGCGTGTCGGGGGACTGCTGGAGACTTAGTCCAACACACGTGGCAGGCACCAGCGTGGGAAGGGCATGCCTCAGAGTCTGAACGCAAACAAAGCCAGATCTTAAGGGAGAAGCCAGTATCGTAAGGACGCGTGGGAAGAGCGCAGGGAGACAGCAAGACCGACGCGCCACGAGCCGCGGAGGACCCGAACGAAAGCTCGCCTGCCGGGCAAGGCGGAGAGCCCCGGAGCCGCCCCGCGGAGCCGCCCTTCCCTCAGCCTTGCCTCCCGTTACTCACAGCTCCTGGGGCGCACCCGCCGTCCTCAGCGCCTCTCCCGCACAGCCGCGCCGGGGCCTACTGCTTGCGCCCGCCGCTCCTCGCCGGCCAGGGCGCCCGCCAGGGCCGTGGCCACGCCCCCGCTCGGCACGCAGCCCCGGGCTCCCTCCGGCTCGCCCCGAGCTCTCCCCGCTCGGCTCTTTGTGAGCAGCGGCGACGGGCGAGAGGGCGTCGCCAGGGCGCGCACTCGCTGCTCGATCTTCCAGAGTCCGGAGCCGCGGCCGGCGCTGTGTCTGCGCCCATCTGGCACCGGTGTGACCTCGAGGGTGGTGCTCGCGGGCCGATCGAGGCTCGAGCAGGCGTGGCTCACGTGAAGGAGCAGGACCGCGCGTGTCAGTGAGCATCTGGGAAACAGATGCATGGTGTAGAGCCGCGCTGGCGAGGCCTCAATCTACGATGTTGCACTTCGCCAATAATCCTTCTTGAATTGCGTGTTATTGAAAGATTGTACCAGACTTAGCCCCCTTTTGAAACGGCTTAGGCAGGAGCGGGCAACCTGCACCCCTTGACCAGCCACCCATTCAAGCCTCGGGAAGGTTACGCTCACCCTCCCAACAACAGGGAGCCTGTTGGACAGAGGGCGAGGGGAAGAGGCGCACACACAAAGAAGGGGTGGCAGAGAGAAGGAGGGGCAGGCAGCCATGACTTTTCTTTTTTGGTACAACCACCACCAACATGCAACCTGTAACAGGTTACCCCTTCTAACAGAAGGCAACGCACAACAGATAAAACAGTTCCCCTCTAACCCTAACTCCCCTCCCCATCCCGTACTCATTGTATTTGTGTTATGTCTCTTGATATGGAGGCTATTAATACTGTACTACTTTGGCGTCCTTGAAATCCTGTTGGCCACCACATCATGCAATGTTCCAATAACGCTGGCCCTCTCTTTTGGCCTCAACATCCACCCCATCCTTGCAGTGTGATAATAACTAGTCCAGACCATGACCAAGTCTTCAGAATGAGCGCAGTATCTCTCTGCTATTCCACTCCCCCACCCCAAATTAGCAACTAGGAAAAATACTTTACAGTTTATTTCTACTGTCCTCACACAGGAAATAGATGCCCTGATTTTGCATGCATTTTAAATTGAATTGTCCCAAATTATCCCTTTTGTTTTGCATGTTTTAATCATGCTGCTTAAACATGCCCCTGCACGTGAGATAGCTAGGCTGTGACTCAAAAGAGTCATGTGCTATCGGATGCTATTCATGATACTGTGAAGAAGCAGTGGACACACGTATGCTGGGGCATGTACAATCAGAAGAATGATTCAGACATGTAGCTTACGAGGGACTACAACTAGGTTATGCTTTTGTAACCTATTACAACCTATCACCTATATTACAGAATGATTTTATAACCTATTAGTCATTTACAGTCTGGAGGAGGGTGGGGGATCAGGTAAGCAATTTGCCAGATGCAACAAGAGGATTAAGGCAAGGGGCAAAAAGTTTCAAGACAGGCATCTTAGCATATCTAAGCCTTACCTAAGCAACAAGACATGGTCTTTGATCAGATCAGGACCCCTGCTTAACAAGTCTAAAGCTGTTCTTTCAGCAGCCATTTTATGGTAGGGCTTTCACTATGACAGTACTCCAGAGAGAAGTTATACCCTGTCATGAATGAAGTGCATTAGCAGTGCAGAAAGTGTTGTGTGGCACCCTAAAGATTCTATTCTTTTCTAATCTTTAAGGTGCCACAAAATTCTTAATTCTCTCTTAAGTTGATAGAACTTACCAAAAAATTAGATTTGGCATGAATAAAGATTTTTATGTCCTACTACAGATGTCAACTAACTTTGATTGAATGATTACCAATTATGTAGCTGTGAAGGATAACTGCTTGTTTTACATACTTTTAAGCCTCAATTGCCACAGACTGTACTTTTTATCATTTCATTGCTATTTACATGTATCTGATTTTAACTCAAGGTTGTATGCCTTTGTTAATCTTTGAAGGACAGGATGAAGTGAGGCCTTTCTTTGAGGCTAGAGTGGTGATTGTGATTGTCCTTGCCTCACATAGGGATAATTTATGCCTCAGCATTTCAGGGTGAAGATGTGGGGCTTTGACTAGACTATCTGTTCAGCTAAATTCAATGGTTAAAGGATAGCAACATTAAGTCTGATTTTTGGAGGAATCTCTGTTGAAGTAATGGCAGAATTCTTGGCAGTTTATATATCATTCCCTTTTCTTAAAACAGAGTATCTTGTTATAAAAAGAAGAAAGGGGAAGATGTGGGTTAGCTTTTTCTGGATGGAGAGGCATAAACAGTATTGCAACTAAATTGGTCAAAATGGAATATTGGCTTAGACAATACAGATGCCTTTGATACTTTGGTGGTTTTCACACCCTGACAGTATAAAAAATAAATGTACTATAACTGTGGCAACATTAAAATACCTTTATTTGTCATATACAGTTTTTTCAATACATTCAATACAATTTTAAATGTCAAAATATAAAAGCTCTCTGGCATTCAGGTTGGTATTATGTCTTCCGCTGCTATTCAAACTCATCCTGTAAATAGACCATTAGATAGGCAAGCTTTAAAGTAATTCTAAGTACTTCCACAGTGTATCAAAAATGTATCTATTAGCCATAAAAACTCCTTTGAACAAGTGCTCACTCAGCTTTTAAAACAAATTGTTGTGTTGCTGGGTTTTTTTAAAATCAAAAACCTTGTGTCTTTAGTAACTGCTTTTAATATTCAGATGAACTAGAGGTTTGGCATGACTCCAGGACCAGAGCATAGTAGCTGTGATGCCTGCACAATACTTGGCTACCTGATGCCAGAGCCATAACTTTTCTTACCTGTGATAATGAGTCTTCTACAACATAGCTATAGGGGGGAAAGCAATGGATCAAATTAATCTTCTAAGATATAGTCCACCATTTTATCTAAATTGTAGCTGTAACCTGGTGCTTACCTACTGGAAAATAAATCCTGTTGTGTTATGACTATTTTAAAATAAAGGTACATAGGACAGGTCTAGTCATTGCAAACATTTAGGAGTCTTCAGGACTGTTGGGGTCCTGAACACAGTGCACAGAAGAAATTGGAGGTTTCCCATTCAGGCCATGGCAAAGTCCCAAAGAGAGTGTGACCTCAACATTTTTGGCTGCTTCCCTGCTCTGAAATCAAAACCACATTTTTACTAATGTAGTTTGTCCACAGCTCTCATTACTTCTGCCAACTGGGATCAATGGAAAGCAACTTGCCCTTAAGTGCACTAAGAAGAATTTTTTTCATCTTTTGGGAAATCCTACATGTGGGCCCAAGCTCTTTAGAGTGCATTGTTTATTTATTTATTTTTATTTCGTTTCACTGTGTAATACCTTGAGCCATCTTCTCCAGTCTGAGTTTCAACAGTTCTGTATGGGGTGGAAAACAGCAAAAAGTAACTATGGGTATAGCATCAGGGGAATGATTTTATGCTAATCTAGTTCCTCCTACCCAGTAAAGGGGAAAAAAAACATGGGAGGGCCCATCACACAATTCACATTATGTCTACTTTGGTCCTAAATGTGTTACTATAGGAGTGTCCAACCTTTTGGCTTCTCTGGGCCGCATTGGAAGAAAAAAAAATGTCTTGGGCCACACATTAAATACACAAACACTAAAAAAAAAGCTGATAATTTTAATGATATCTGCCACCATAGATAAGCAAAAAAAGTCCTCACATAATCCTAATTAGCGCTTGGAAGATAATACACTGGAAGCCACACACAGCTGTAGACTGAAGCCACACGTGTGCAAATAGTGAGAGCATAGGTACATTTATTTTACATGACATTGCGACAGAACATTGTTGTATACAAAGTACACTCTGGAGAACTGCATGATCGAGTTACAAAATAAATTGCAAAAAATCTCAATGTTTTAAGTAAGTTTATGATTTTGTGTTGGGCTGCATTCATAGCCATCCTGGGCTGCTTGTGGCCCGGGCTGTGGGTTGGACACCCCACTATAGAAGCTTAGGACACAATCCAGTGGGTGTGCCCTTTTTCTTGTAAGCCTCCGAGGCTTACACACATCCTACACAGAGCAGGGGAAGTGGCACAAGATATTCCCTCTTCCGTACTCCTTCTGTTCTGCATTTCAGCTGATTTCATCCATCTAGTAGTGCAACAGATGGAGGAAGAAGGCTGCATGTCATCAGTATTCCTCATATCTTGGCAGACTCAGTTTCCTCCCCTCCCCTGGAATACCCCCGACCCTGAACACCTCCTTTCTGGGGTTGATTCATGGTCTTAGAGAAACAGCCAGCATGGTTCTTTCCATGTCAGATGCAAGGGTGGGGAAGAGGGAGATATAAGCACAGATCCCCAGCTCTGAGGTCAGAGTTCTGTTCTTGACCTTGGATGTGGGAATCCAAAGAATCCTATGGCCCCTCTTTGTTACTGCAAGTCCCTCCCATATACGAAATAAAAGATGCAGTTCTCAGCTTTTAATCTAACCAGCTTTACAGTTACATTGTGAAGAACAAGAGTACTAGATGAGAACCCACAAATTTGGGGTGCGGAACTGTTTTGGCCTAATTGTAAACCTAAACAGTTTGAGGACTTGGCATCAGAGCTTGTAATGTTTACATAGAAGCTGAGTAACTTCAAGTTTTCTCAGCTATTCCTTTTTCTTTAATAAAAAAATCAGTCTAAGTTAGATATTTCAACTAAATATGAAGCATATTACAAAATTGTCCTTACCTCTTCTCTAATCCAAAATAGCCTTCGGTCTGAGTGCTGTGAGTATTCAAATGAAAAGCCTGTCATTTAGAAGTAAGCACTATTGATTTACATATCTAGGTACATCTGTCTGACTGCCTATCAATGTCAGCTAGTTTATCTGCTTCCATAACTGAAAGGTGACATACTATTTCTTCCTCCTAAACCTCAGTGTTTTTGTAAGACTCAGAAGAAAACAATGCCCATAAACAAGTGCAAACACACTGAAGTCTTTTTTGAAAATCAAACAGTGATTCCGTTTATTGCTGAATGGAACAACGTACAGCCCTCACCTGACATG